AAACAATTAGAAATCTAACTCAAACATCTTTGCGTGCTACCGACAACAATTAGTACTGTTCAGATCTAGGTTCTCTGGTCAGATGCCACTTACTACTATTATCATTCAAATGCAACATTCTAATAGCTATATTATACCAGTTATTTACCGCAGTAAAAGATAGAATGAGAAACAAATGAAAAAATATTTAGCCTTCAAATGGTAGCTGCAAACACACACCAAAGATTATAAAATTACGATCTACTGCTGATCCTTAAAATAAATACCACCAATGTATAACATAACATATTAGCATAATGGGCTAGCAGTTGTCCACTGTTACACGATGCCCTTACTAAAGATGGAAGGGAAAGAACTCTCGCAATGGTTAATATCGTCTCTTAGTCATCTAAAAGTTATGACTCCGTTATAGCGAATAGTACAAGCTGTTCTGGCCTCGCGTAACATATTCTTCCATATTAACACTTTGAGGTACATACGAAGGATACGAGTTATTTGAAAACTGCTTGTTGAAATCGTCTCTGATACGATACCTTATGCCTCTAAAGTGTCACTAAGGCGTTATATGAAAAGTATTGAGCAAAACAGACTTATTCTTCGTGATAGTCGCTATTGTAAGATGAATATAAAATTATATGGATCATGAAAACATGTGATAGCGTACGGCGCGCGCGCAATTCAATCTGCGCATCCAAGATGGCGTGCATAGCGCACAAAGCACGCGCCGTGTCCGTCTCGGTTGACCAACCAAGCGCGAACCATTTTTATACATAAACATTGTTCGCAGTAGAGAAATCGACGGGCGTGACAGCGGCCATTGTTGTATGCCATTTTAAACTCTATGAATATTAGAGCGTGATACACTTAAATAATTTATATCGACATCAGTTTATTCTTAACATCTACCAGTGGTAATTTCATGTTTAAACTATTCTAAACCTTACTTGACCTAAACTTTCTTTCGGCTTACAAGGTTACGTTGTACGTTGTTTTGAGTCATAGAATTATCGATTACCCATTATAAATGGTGTTATCGCTGTTATTTCTTTAGCTTTTTCCACCGTGTTAGAAGTTGCTTTTTATATCCTACTTTATAAATAAAATAATCTATTGTCATTGGAATTACACAAAGCTTCTTTTATTTCTTTCATAAAGGCTTCTTATTTATTCAGGTGCAAGTTCAAAATTGTTATAACAAAATAATGAGAAATTTTTGAATATTAGCGTTATCGACTTATTTAAATGCCGTTTCCGTTACATTAATATTCCATATAACGCCCTGATTCTAACGAACGTTTTTTTTAACGCGCGTTAAAATAAAACAAATACATTTCGATTTACATATCTGTTCACACAACAGCATTTTTAAAACACGACGTTTTTTAATCGCACTGTTGCTATTTGAGCGCTAGGCGAACGGAACAAGATTGATTTCAAAGCGTGCGTCGTTGAAGTCCGCCAACGTAGAGTTTAAACGCGGCGTTAAAAAAGCGCCCATGCGAATGAGTGCTTACAGCCTATTCAGGCGCGTCATTTAAAATTACACATATCTATGCGCATATGGAATAAACCCGCATGTATTAAACGAAGCAGTGGCTCATTATCGATTGGTATTTTTAGTTCCGTTTCTTAGTTAAGTAGACTAAGATAATGTAAGTGTGTACCAACATGTTCTAGAAATTTCAAAGAAGTCATTTTGTTTTATCCAAATGCCCACAATCTCGTAACTTATCACTTTTAAAATTTTATGTGGAGAAATAAAGTTTTGTAAAACCTAATCAGAAAAATAAAAGCCCTCACCAAATTACGTAAAAAATGGTACTAATTTATATGCGCGCATTAGAAAGAAATCGATTAAAGCGCCTCCAGGAAACGATTTATCTATTTTAGGTTAGGCTATACAGTATATTGCGGCAGAGATTAACGTAATATTACCTTACGAACCTTCATACTTCTAATATAACAGTATATAAAATCAAGCAACAAGAACTAAGGAGGGGTCATAAAATTAATTATGTGTAAAATGTCAACCACGTCCCTTTACAAGCGCACGGTTCAGAACTTTTTATAGGACTTGATTGCACGTGACTTAAAAAATATCTAATGAGACATTTAATAAAGGAAATGGAAAATACCTATAAAAGATAATGTTACAAAATTTTCACGACTAAACATTATAGAAATAAGCTATCGTAGTTTTATTTTTATTTCTTTCATTATTAATAATCTATGTGTTCTTCCAGAGTATGTTATATACGTATGTCAAATTTCATCAAGGTCCGTTCAGTCGTTCTGAAGATACAATCAAACATCCATCCAGCCATCTAAACATTCGCATTTACAATATTAGTAAGATTACGTTCGTCCCTGTGATTGTATTCGAGGAAATTTTAAACACTAGAAGACTCGACCGTGTCATACAGCATTGCTAGTAAAACGATAATTTGTTAATATCTGTATTGCATGCTACAACCGAGACACGCGATCGCACCATTTCAATTTGATTTTTTTATACTTACTATTTCTAGATATTAAAATTTTCTCAGATAGTGCCCTTTGTTTGTTATTACTAAGTAATATATTTTTTTAAATAAAAATAGATTCATCCCCTATGCCTATACCGCTGGATAGAATTTGTTAAAACTGCAACGTACGTTGGACGTAAAAAATCTGATTTTGTTTTTAGTGTCCCTTGACCGACATACCGAAGCGACCGCTGCCCGTAGACAAGATGGTTGTTGCGTTGCATGACGAAGAAGGGAACGCACCGAAAGAGGATATTTCCTTTTCCTGAACGTCCTTTTCTATGCCGAATCCACCATGGGGAGCAAATTATGCCTCTGGCATGCACATTCATCAGAGGAGACTTGGAATTAATTCTACTTCATGACTGTCTACCATGTGGTCGCAGTACTTCAACGGTCAAGCCGGCCAAATTGTCCAAGACATAATATTACGGGCTATATCACTTTTAATATAGCTTGCTTGGCTTGTATTATTACATTTCGATTATGCAAGGTTTTGGTGCACTGACAGGTATTTCGGCAATAGACAGTAGAAGCCCGCGCTTATGGCCCTAATGCCCAGTTTATTCTTTATGTTTGAATTGAAAATACTAACTGGATTGCTGGATTGTTTTAATTAATTAACTGGTATTTAATGAAATTACAACATATTGTTTCATTTATTTGCCATTACTTTAAAAGGAATTAAAAACAAATCAAGTCTATATGATGATATGACGCTATTTATTTCTTCAACTATGTTCATAAAAAGATGTAAATGTATTTTGTTTTGGTTAATTTTCATAAAAAGTTTAATTATTATCTTCAATAGCAGACAATTACTTGACATAATATAGTTAATATTGCAACAATTGTTAAATTACTACACTAAAAGTAAGGAGGTAGTCAAAAAAATAAACTAAATATTTGCTCTATGGTTCTTTATGGTTTGAAAGCTATTTTTTATCCAATTAAACTAAGGCAACAAATATTTATTGTCTTTTAAAGTATTTATACAAGTAATTTTACTAATATGTAAACACTTGAATTTTTGATTTTTATAAATTTATACAACTGCCATAATCTTTTTTTGCTAGAAAAAAAAGCATGAGTAAAATGAGAGTATAGTATAATACCGGCGTCTTAGAATATACGGTTATTTTGTAATTACCAGAAAAAAACCTTTTACTCATCATATTTAAGAAATAAATAATAATCATATCAAAATCGAATAAAATATCCTACAAAAACGTCATTTTTGGTTCCTATATATCAGTGTCCATGTGTGCACACACAAAGATAACGCTTGTGATAATAGTTCCGGCATATTTTATTTATAAAAAGCCGCAAGCTTTGGCTACTTCCGAACCACTCACTTCACCCCGCTACGACCTAGACGTTTTCATTATTCAATTAAATTCCTTTTTTTTGTAAAATGTATTGTGACCATGTTTTTACAGGATTTCTTAATGTTATTTGTAATTAACTAATATTGTTGAGCAAAAAAAATAGTACATATTAAAGATCTTTTATATTTATTCTACATTGCCAGATATTTTTTCTGGTTATTAAAAAAAACGTGTATACAAAGGGTCACATGACCTAAGAGTGTATTTTTCTAAACTATATTGATTTTAAAACAATCTCTCTGAATCTTTGATGCAACCAAGTATTATAAGATTAAAAACTTTATCATCATGGTAATCATTTTAACTTGGGCATACCAGGTTCAGGTTAGTATGGTATAGTTCGACAAATATATCTGGCCCGGTAAGAGGCGCTGCAATTGCATCGTTAGTTATGTCAGAAATTATGTAAGACCTATTAAGGTGTAGAAAATTACATTAAAGAAAAAACATAGCATAACACCTACAATACAGCAAGGATTTTGTGACACTTTTTGCCACATGTGTTACAGTGGGTTTCTAAAACCCAAATCTCTGTATAAAACATATCGACATCCCTGTCATTTTCTTTGACAAATCTGATATAGCAGTTTTAAACGAGGATTCGGTCTCAGAAACCCACGATTAGAACGACAAAGTTATTTGACCCGGTGGGATAGTCAGATTAAAGTATGATATCTCACTAGCGCTCTCATAAGAATGTGTCAAGATCTTTTTTGTACTGTCACTGTCAGATCATTTTTTTTATTCCATTGTCTACACTCATGTAGGTTAAACATATTTTCTGAGAGAGATAGCATCGCAACAGATCTCTTATTGGGACAGAAATCCCTGTTGGATTTATAATTATTATATCTCACTAGCGCCCCACTGTCAATGCAAAAAAGTGTGTCATTTCGTATAAGAGCTGTCTTGTCAAGTTTTTTCCTGAATATCAATTCCTATGCATACATAGGCTTGACATAGTTTCTCACAGAACATATAGCGATAACAGTACCTATCTTACCAGACTAAAAAAGCTTGTAGCACTATATTGTTATCTAGTTTGACTTATCCACCAAGTCATATAACTTTGTCGGTCTATATATTTAAACAAAATTATGTAACAAAATATACAATAACAATGTTAGCTTAAATTATGTTTTACCAAGAGATCCATGGGGGTTGGTTCATTTTATTTATAGGTACATGAGTCATATTGACAGGTAAATTAATAATAGCATAATTTCTACGTAATTTTTTTAAAGTTTTGAGTATTGTTGCGCCACTGCGACCCAGGAGGAATGCGGCCGGGATGTTAACATCCAAGTCCATCCTGAAATAACGTAGACGACATAGTCAGAATACTTTAGTGTTTGTTTTTATGTAGTCTTATTTCATACTTTCCATTTATAAAAAAAATGCTCAAGGGAACAAACATAAAATGCGACCTTGTCATAAAATTCAAAAAGCCACTGACGCTTGCACTGCCATTGTAATATTGTCTTTGTTTTTTTCAAGAGAATTAGAGCGATAACAAGTGGCTTTACTTTTTACCTTTTACTTCTATTTCAGATAACTAGATAACCTTTGAAGATGGTGTTCAAAATTTAGAAATGCAAATAAAAACAACAAAACTATCAACATCAATGCAACTCCAAAACTTGTGTATTCATCTATTAGTTATATGAATTAAATACTAAATAATCAATCTTTTTTTGAATAGATATTGCAAAGAATTGAGTCATACTTACTTGTCATCCACCATCTCTATAAGATGATCCAATGTATCATCCCATTTATCTACTGATTCCGTAATTATTATGGCACGAGCTCCAGCCTGTTGGGCTTTGGCTGTCTTATAAACAAATGAACATTCTCTGAAATTAAAAACCATGCATTGTATCATTAAATATTAAGACCAAAGTCAATTTTAACAATATTTATAATTCCTAGTGGTTAAACCCATTATTTTATCTACTCTTTCTTATTGTTTTAGTTAAAACATAATGGTTGATCATCATCATCAGCTTACTATAGGTCCCCACTGAGGGGCTTGGAGTGGAGAACTCTAAGTTAGGGTTGACTGATGTTTGATATAACTTTGAAATAAACTACAAAAAATACTTTTGGCTGCATTTCTTTCATTTAATGAATATTTAAGGCTAAATAGCAATGGATATGCAACCCCTGCAATGAAAATAATTACAAATCTTGATCAAAAACATCTAGCTCTTTACATCAGGAACGTATTGTTAATGGTTCTTGACTTACAACTTAATGTGATTACAATCTATATGAAGGAAATGAATACTAACCCTCTCTCAGATAATGCAATATGCCCAAAAACTTCTTCATTATTTAATATATCACCGCAACTGTGCAGTGGTAATGTGGGGACTAGACGAGTTTTTTCAAACTGAAGACTTTCATTCTGAAACAATGAAAATATACAATATTTCATTAAACCAAACGCATTTGTCATGTTTTGTTAACAATATAACATTATTACTTACGAAGGTTGCGCCAAAATCCTTGGCCGGTCTTATACGATATGTATATCTCAACTCTGGTGGATCAATAATTTCGAAAAACACATCTCCTGCAATAACATCGGCTATTGATGCACCATCATTAAAATGTAAGTCATTAGCTGTAAAAATAAGAAAGAACACAAAAATATAGTAAACAAGATATTAAAAAGAAATGCATAAAAATCGAATTGTAATAGATTTCCACATAAGCATGGATTTTGTAAGGTTTGCTTATTACTAATAAAATTAATTCATTTACCTCCTGGAGATGCTACGTTAACAAATATAATGAGGGAAATAAATAAATATAACTGTAAATAAGTGCAAACATTTAAAATACCGTGAAACATAATCATTTCAACTTACAATATGTCAGTGTCACTGTCAAACGCTGTCACAATGACATCACCAGAATGTCATTCTGTCACTGACCTACACATACAGAGTCTATGTAACAGATAGGTTAAAAGCTGTATGATGTGCCTATTTGATTTTCATCAATTTTTGTCCTTTTATATTGCTGACGCTAGCGGTTGATAGTGGTGGTTAGGATCAGAGTATCATCTCTCTCGTCAAAATTAGTTCAATCGTTTTGGCTCTAGAGCTGGGGCCTATAGTCTAGGCCATAATCACTATGAAATTTACTACCTACAAATCCATTTACATAAAACAAACTTATATACACGTGAAAACAGTTACATATATACCTCATTGTCAGTCGCGGAAAAAAAACAGCAAGCACACTACCTTTGTGTAAATATGTAGTTATAATATTTGTGTATTTTTTATGTAAATGTATACCATTTCCTGGTTGTTACAATGATGAAAATTATTATATATTTATTGTTTACTGGAACAGGATAGTTTGTATGTATCAAATACACTTTATTACGATTTTACGATAGAGTGAAATGTAATTTTTATTCACCACTTAAAACTCATACATACACGTGTGCATGAGTCCCACCAAGCTAATTTTCTTAAAAAACTATTGCTTCTCTTTTGCTTAACTAGTTGTCGCCCGCGAGTCCGTCCACACGGAATTGAAAAATAACTAAATAACTTAATTACGTATGTGTTCTTCCAGACTACTAAATCTGTGCAAAATTTCATCAAGATCCGTGAAGCTATTGCAGAGATACCTACAAACATCCATCATTCCATCTAAACTTTCGTATTTATAATATTAGTAAAAATTAACATGGTAAGATAAGACTAGTACGATTTATCGCTGTAAGATAGATACGTCTTAATTTATTAAAATGTAAAAAAATATTGTTTCTTACAAAGTTATAATTTTTTACATTTTGATAAGAAAAGCAGCAGCTTACAAACGTTTATTTGAACCTGTGCGCATTAAATACCTTATGTATCAAATTCAGTCAAATTATTTTGTCGAATATCCATAGATATCATATATAGAGGTCAGTGCGAATATCCCTTATGATGTGGTCCAATTAAAAACCGCCACGCTTACTTGCTAACAGTTTTCATATCAATAGAATAAGGTCATGTAGTCTATAGCCGGGAAAATTTCCAAACTTCTCTTATTTTCAATTCCATTCAACGCATGTTAATACCAATGAAAAAAATATTTTTTTAAGATTCTGATATAAATTTCTACTCTTTAAATTGGATCAAATTCCCTATGTAGTTACCTTAAAAAAAACATTTTAAATAACAAGTTGTGCCTCATATTTAATGCAAATCATTTTTCACCAAAAGTATCTGTTCAACCTTAAACGAAACGTTTCTGATAAAGTTATAGGGATAAAAAATATCCCCATTTTTAGGGAGATTGCACAAGTATTTTTTTTTCGACGTGAACGTCTCGTGAAAATACTGGGTCTGAAATTTTAACAAAACCCCTAAAAATCTAAGTAAGTAGAAAGTAAAAAATGGTTTAATTCAAAAAATATTAAAATAAACAGGATTTTACAAAAGATTAAAATGTGTTGGGTAAATCGTATATTTGAGCACATTGTACTGAAATCTGCAATAAATGAAATGACAGATTGTCAGATAGTTTTTGTTTGTATGTGATCGTTACTCCTTACTTTTCCTCTTGGATTTGTTAGTTGTATTCGATATTTTTTCAGTATGTACTTTTAATAAGTTGCCGGTAAATCGCGAAATCGTTTAGGATTCACAAAGAAAATTACTTTTTTCCAAGATTTTGTAGTAAATCTTAGTAAATTGTTTTGTGTACAAGTTATTGATCCGAATTTTGGTAAGTTTCGCGAGATGAGGGAAGGTTTATATTAAAGTATATATATTCAATTACATTTAATTTTTTCAGATTTATTCCTACCATGGTTAGCAAAATTTCGTAATATTGATGTATAGTTTTTCTCGTTTGAATAATATTAATCATGTACTTATTTTTGTTATTTACTGTAACTAGATAAAATCCAACTTTCCAAACTGTTGCATCACAATTTCAGAGGGAAAATGTCAAAGGTTTTCCTATTCAATTCATTAAGATTGGTTTAATTTACATTAACTTTTTTAAAGATCATTAATTTATTTAATAAGTTGCTGGTAAAGTATATATAATAGTCTGAATTGCAAGTTGCTTTCTTCAACTCCTTTAGTCTTTCTTCTAAGGGTTTAAGTATGATGTTAAATGTTCTTAATTCATTTAGAGATACTAGGATTTTCATGTAGAATGGAGTAAAACTGGCACTGAATGTGCTAAAGAGCCGCAAAACATAACATATTTAATTTTTTCATTATTTATGTTATAAAATATTTTTAAAAATATCTTTCTGCATAATATTGGAAGTCCATCTAGTAATGGACTGATGGTGATGAAACATTCAGTTTATAATGTAATATTTTTTTTATATTTAGATCACAACAATGGAGGAACCTCCCTCCGAACAAAGTGTAATCTCAAGATCATATCAGACACAACTGGAAGAAATAGCTTGTAGGAAAAATACAATAATTTATCTACCAACAGGTATTATTCAATCATTAGAAAAAATAATTAAATGTTTATTAACTTTTTAATTATACTGATGTTTTAAGGTTCTGGAAAAACCTTTATTGCTATTAGCCTTATTGGAAGATTCAAGAAAAGTTTGAGTGGGGAATGGGGCAATGGTGCAAAAAGAACATTTTTTCTTGTTAACACAGTGCCATTAGTGCAGCAGCAGGTGAATCTATGTTTTCTGTTAAATATGTATAGTAATATTGTTTTAGAAATGTTGGCCTACAATTTTTCAAAGTAATTGGTCCACTAACTCATAATTCTCAGAGTATTTGTGATGGTCAGAAATTTTTAAACCATGGATGCTTGTTCCCTTACTATACTACAGTACTTTTGAAATTTTATAGTTTGAATTTTTTTTTAGCGAAAATGTATCATAGATTTATGTCCTATTAAAAAAGTTGGCAGTTATTCCAGTGAAGATAGAGTTGATTATTGGAACAAAAAGAAGTGGGACGAGGAACTTAGCAAGAATCAGGTAAATTAAGCCTTACATAAACAGTGTGTTGTAAAGAGGAAATTGTTCTGCATTCAATTTGTTGTAGGTTGTAGTGATGACAAGTCAAATCTTATGTGACATGTTAACACATAATTACATAAATATAAGAGACATAAATCTGTTGATTTTTGACGAATGCCATCATGCCATTGACAACCATCCTATGCGAATGGTGATGAAACAATTTGAAGCCTGTCCAAAAGAAGAACAACCCAGAGTGGTTGGTAAGTTTTGTTTAAGTTTTTTTGACAAAACACTCATGAATTAATTATATCTAAAACTGTAAACCAGTAGCAAATTGACACTAAGTGTATGAGAAAAGTGCGGCAAGTAAAATGCTGGGGTACTGGTAACCCGGCAACTAGAAATTTATTTTTAGTTAATGAAATTAAAAGTTAATGTTCTAGCAAGCAATGACCAGACAATACTAGTCTTCCACGGGTAAACTGTGTTTAAGCCATGGTAAATTGCTGTTAGCTGGATTGCCAGCTTATTGAAGTTCCTTGCTTGAAGTATTAATTAAAAAAATATATTTTTATTAAACACATAATGAAACTGACAAACTACATGTTATGGAATTTAATTCATAAAGTAAGGATCATAAAAATCATAGCACTTTAGTTTAACTTGTTTTAGTATTACTTCAGAGCTTCAACTACATGTCATTCTTTTCATTCTCGATTACAAAACAGTGATAATGATATGTATTGTATGTGTATGTATACAAGTATCACTGCTGTGAAAACACAATTTCATTGTTCTAGGTTTGACTGCTACACTTCTAAATGCAAACATCACCTTGCATAAAGTTGAAGAATCATTGCAACAGTTGGAAACAACTTTCCAAGCAACAATAGCTACTGTAAATGAGTTGGGAGAAGTATTATCGTAAGTATTTTTGATCGCATAAACACACAGGCAGAATAACAACAAAAAAAAGGAAAAAGAAATGTATTTTTTCATAACACTGGCCAGTTGATTATGTGTGTATAAATTGAAAACAGTAGCGCAGCAACCAAAATGTGTTTATTTGTTGTTAAGATTCTTATACAAAAACTACATATAATATTATTTTATTTACATTAAATTCATACTCAATCTATTCATCGACTACATTTTGCTGTAGAGACTACTCGCGCGATTCTCTTCACTATTTTTCACCTATTTTTTAATAATTAAAAAGGCAAAGGTTTTCAGTGGCCAGTATGCCACGTCTTGGGCAGCACACAATGTTTACTTTTATTTATAGTTACTCCACAAACCCGAACGAGTTGATAGTAGAATATAGAACTTATAAAACTCCAACAAGCGCTGAAGAAGCTTTCACCCTGCTAAGTGATCTTAAATCTTTAATTAATGCTGTAAAATTGCCAACTATTGAGAGAAGCGATGTTAAATTGAAGAAGGGACAAGTTGATATAACAGTTGATTCTAAGAAGGTTTGTTTCATTCAAATATTAAAAAAAGTATTTTCGTCTAAAAAATTTTGTAATTTCACTACTTTGATTTCATTACAAAAGGCAATGTATGACATATAGATTAAAAATAATTATATATTTTTTACAATTTTATGCGTAGAAATAATTTTTTGAGTGATTAATTTTTTTTCGATTGATTTATATAAGAACATCGTCCAAACATTCCTTTATTAATATACAGGATTTTTTTTGTTATATAAGCAATTAAATAAAAAAAAATCTTACAGATAGTGAAACAAGTAAAAAACATGATTGTATCGATTGAACAGTTTATTATAGAATTAGGAATTTATGGCGGTGATTTAAGTATAATCGCTTATGTTATTCTATTGGAGCAACTGAAGAGAAAAGCCATAACAATGGAAGAAGAGCATTTATACCAATTCACCATAACACATCTTGTTGAGTAAGTTTTTACGTATACGAAACCTAACTTGATTAATTTTCGACTGTAAACAAAAAATAATTTTCAAACTAGCTGTCGCTTGTGACGTCGTCCTCGTGATATTCAAAAAATAAACTATATTTGTTTCTTATATGTTCTTCCAGGCTTATATGTTCTTTATGTATGCCAAATTTCATTTAGATTCGTTGAGTCATTTTGGAGATACAAACAAACATCCATCCTTCCGAACATTCGCATTTGTAATATTGGTAAGATTGAGAGTAGCTGTGGCTCGCGATAAATTGAAAAAAAAACTTTATTAATAGCATATGTGTTCTGTGTGTATGCCAAATTTCATCGATTTCCGTTCATCCATTTTGAAGATGCCTCCTAACAGACATCCATCCGTCTAAACATTCGCATTTATAATATTAGTAAGGTAAAGTTATAACTGATATCAAATTTAAAAATGCAATTTGTTCAGGGTCAGGATGATTCTAAACAACATCATGAAGAATGAGACAGGATTTGAAAGGATCGTCAGGCATTCATCTGACAAAGTACTTCACCTTTTAAATATATTAAAAGAATACAGTCCAGATGTTATTAAAAGTGACGGTAAGTTAAGACTTTTTAATATTCTAAACGTACACATGAAAAAACTTATTGTTTTATTTTACTGATACATCATTTCCTTTTTTTAGGGTTCCGTACCTCATAGAAAAAAAACGGAACCCTTATAGGATCACTTTGTTGTCCGTCCGTCTGTCTGTCAAGACCCTTTTTTTCATTAGAAACATCAGTTAAATTCATATGCTATTATAGTTTTGAGGTTATTATTTTTTACTTTTCTTAATTGTACAGCTAACAGATCTGATTCATTTTAACCTTGAATCCTTTACTAGGTTTCCCTGTATTAAGAGAGAGGTTGATAGAATTGTTATAAATATTCCAGCTCCATTAAAAGTAAACTGCGCAAGGCAACCAATATCGGCAATAATATTTACACAGAGGAGATTTTCCGCAAAAATATTGTACAACATACTAAAGGAAGTGATTGAAGTGAATCCACAAGATTTTGGCTTTTTAAATCACGATTTTGTCGTCGGTTTCAATGTGAATCCGTACAATAATACGAGGGAGCAATATTTCACCAAGAAAAAAAGTCAGCAGGCGTTACTAAAGTTTGCTAACAAGTGAGTATTACCCTAGGGGGTGAGATAAAGTACATTCGCACCGAAGCGATTCCATAACAAACTTCAAAAATGTATAGAACTGGTTATGGAAAAACATAATTGGTAATCTATGTGTCCATATGTATGCCAAATTTCGTCGCGATCCGTTCAGCTGTTTTGGAGATACCTTCAAATAAACATCCATCCATCTAAACCAGTCGTTCCCAAAGTGGGCGATAACGACCCCTTGTGGGCGCTGCAGGTCTCAAGTTGCGGGTTATAGTAAAAATTTCGTTTTGAATCCTCCGTTAATAAACATATATAGGTCACAATAATTAATTAATTTAATTTGAAGTTATAGTGGTTTTTAAATATGTGAAAGTATGGGCAGTAGACAAAAAAAAGTTTGGGAACCACTGATCTGAACCTTCGCATTTATAATATTAGTAAGATTATAAAGTGGCAAACCAACCACTAATGATTTTTAATTTTCCAATTTTTCCGCTGATTAATAAAAAATAAATTTATTAATGTTCCAGAGACCTCAACACTCTGATTACGACAAGTATTATAGAAGAAGGAATAGACATTCCGCAGTGCCGGTTAGTTTTGCGTTTTGATCCGCCATTAGAATATCGTTCATACATTCAAAGCAAAGGTAAGTTCAAATTTATTACACGTTTCAGACATACGGCTAATAGTTTAGTGGATAGAGGATCCATCATATACTTATAGCAGGATGTGTTTAAACAGTACTTATTGAATTTTGGCATATAAAGGCAAAAGCTAGTTTTGCCCGCGACTTCCTTCGCGCTGTGATAAAAAAACTTTGGAAATAGCGTATTCGACACACTACCTTGGCTTGCCTTCCGTACGCTTATATATTACTATCTGTAGCCCGCAACACTGTCCGCGCGGAATTTAAAAAAAAAACTTAAATAGTAACCCTATGTTTTCTTCCAGACTATGTTCTACATCTATGCCAAATTTCAGCAAGATCTATGCAACTGTTCTAGAGATACCGTTAAACAAACATCCATCTATGCAAACATTCGCATTTATAATATGAGAAAAATTATAATAACATCTTTGTTTTCTTCGAAAAAATTGGTAACTGATCAAATTGTTTGCATGTGATTATACAGTGGGAACCCATCTTAACATGATATGTGTGTGTGTGTAGGTCGAGCAAGATCCTCGGAATCGTCGTACGTAATATTAATATCGAATGAAAATAAAGTCAAATTTATGAAGAAATACGAAGAATTTCAGAAAATAGAACAACACGTGCAAAGGGTAAGAAGCATATCATTGTTTTAATTCATCATGAGACGTTAAAAATATTTCTCTTAATAAAAATACACTGCAATCACTGTCTAATTGAAAATGTACAAAACATTAATTTTTTAATTACTTTTTAGCTTAAATATTATGTAAACTATTGCAATCTGATAATATACATTGCAAGAAATAATTGTTAAAATGAGATCTTAACAAATAAATAGCAAAGTTATACAGGAAGCAGTTTTGATACATATTGTTAGGAAGAAAATCCGACACTGTGCCGGTGTACTGGCACTAGCCTTACTAAAATGTCAACTTTTATGTCCCCTTACGAATAATTCTGACACTTGACTAGGTAATAAAAACGCACCATTCTCGCCAAGAGATTTTAACAAATAATGCCTAAAAGTATTTAAGGGCAAAACATACTCTGTTATACGTTGACAATATCAAACACCGGCGGTCAAGGGGTTAAAACACGTGTTTATTGCGATATCTTTGGAATAATGCAGTGAATATTTTTTTTATAGATGTTAGTGGGAAAAACAGATAGTCGTAATGAACCTACGAATAAAGAAATCAGTGATAATTTATATAACGATGAAGATATACCGGTCTATGTAACTGAGCATGGAAGTAAGTAATTATTTCTTTACAGCGCGTCTCTCAAAGGATTGCAGCAAGTTGTCATCGTTTGGGAATCTGATTATTTATACGTACGATAAGGTTCATCCATTAATCACATGAGGCGAGAAAGTTTTTTTTTGGGGGTCTGAAAAAATCACCAGATGAGCGTCGTCGATGGGGGGTTTAAAATAATATTATATTTTCTTACTGACGAAGAAAATATAAAAAAAATAATAATGAATAAATTAAATCCAATTTAGTAACAGACCTTATACCTGTATTAAGTAAATTTCGATGGTACTTTATACTAAAGAAATAAACGAGATTTCGGTGAAAGTATGAGTCTCAAAGAGCTGTTAAAAACATCGCGTGATTAATGGGACTCGTCCATTGAGTTCTAGAAATGGATAGGCGATTCGTTACGATTTAACAGCGCCTCTTGATGTTAAGTGACAGTAATTCTATCTATATTATTAGTTCGAATCCACACCACCGCTACAAATCGCTTCACGCAACGTTAAAATGGCGAAAATGAAATTGGCACAAAATACAACGTCTTATTGCCTGTCCATTTATAGAGGTCAGTGGAAGTCCTAATGATGAATTTTCTTGTACGCAGATCGTCTTACGGCGCAGTCCGCTATACAGTTGTTGCACAGATACTGTTCAACGTTACCACACGATCAGTTCACTATAATCTCTCCGATGTGGATAAGAGAGAAAGTCAGTTATCGTGATAGTGAATATGTTTTAATTACAATTTTATTGCCTATAGCCAGCATTATTAAGGACCCTATAAAGGTACGTCGAAAATAATATGGACAATTATAGTATATTGTTATCTCTATTTTTTCTAAAATAATGAGAGGGATGACAATATATTGTATATGCTTTTAAAACAAAAGGTGGCAACTAAGAAGAGGTCACTTTAATTTGTCAAAACAGCGAAGTAACCGCTGCCTACCTTTAATCGTCAGAGGATTTTTCTCCTTTCCCATGTGTTCTCTCCTTTCTTAAATCACCTCCCCTTCCAATGTTATCCTAATAAGAAGAGGGTGGGAGAGGGAAGAGGAATAAAAATGAGGAAAAAAATATTTTTTCTTTATTTTAATACTAGCTGTCGTCCGCGACTCCAACTGCGCGGAATTATTATAAGAAAATAAATAAGTAGGCCATGTGTTCTTCCAGACTATGTTCAACATCTGTGCCAAATTTCATCAAGATCCGTTCCGGAGATACCTTGTAACAAAAATCTTTTTAGCAAATATGTTTCTTTTTTTATTATAATATTTCGTTTTTAAATGTATTTTATCTTTGTCAGGGTCAACCAATGATAGATAATAAATCGGCGAAACGTTCCGCCGCATTAAATGCATGCATTTTATTACATAAAAGTGGAGAATTAAACGAATATACTCTTTTACCGGAATCTTATAGGTAAGATTTTTAAATTTTCCCTTTATGATGTAAATATTAATAGTTAAGGATTTTTTTTATATCATAAGGTGGCAAACGAGCGACCGGCACCTGATATCGCTGAAGTAGCGAAGCGACCGTTGTCCATAGACATACGCAATTGCATATGCATTGTCTACCTTTAATCAATGGAGGAGAGGATGCACAGAAAGAAAATATTTTCCCTTCCCATTCATCCCCCATCCAGAAGTTCCACTTTCAATTTCCATCCTTTCCTTATAAGAAAAAGGGTGGGAAGGGGAAGAGGACTAAATTAGGCCTCCGGGACGCACACTCATCGGACTGTACGCGGAATATCTTCCACTTTACGCCTGTCTTCTGTGTGGTCGTGGTATTTCACCGGGCGAGCCGGGACAGTTCAGGCGAAGATATTAAAGCGGGCCCTTCCACTGTTAAAATTATATATATCTTTTCAGTCGTGTTAATTTCGATCATGTGGATATAAAACAATGTTTTCCGAATTGGCCGGAACACGATGAAGACAATGGTAATAAACACGTACCCGCTGTCGGTACTAAGAAAAGAATACGCAAGCACGCTAAAGTTGTAAGTCTACACTAATTTTTCTGTTTTCTCAGAATGTAGTCGATACACAAATTTATGATATTTTATTTCTTAATATAAAAGAAAAAGTAAGTTTGTATATGCGTCTCATGCACACACAACTCAGATTTCGATGATTTTTATTCGAGTATTTTTTAATTTTTTTTATTTATTTTCAGTATCCCGAGCTACTAAATGGTCCTGCTACTTGGGCGTATGGTCAAAATACGTTTTACCTGCACGTGATACAGTTGAAGGCAGCATTCCCAGAGCCGAAGGACTCCCGCGAGAGGGCGCTGTATAACTTTATTCAGAGAGGTGAAGGCTACGGCTTCCTGACATCGAACCCTCTACCCCCACTCTGCGACTTCCCAATGTTCCTCTCTGTGGGGGAAGTTACCACCTCCATAAAGGTTAATTACGCAAAGATTGAAATTGACTTGAATTTATTTGAATTTATCAAAGAGTGAGTATTTTTTTTTCTATTTATCTACTTATTATGATTATTTTGACAATTTTAATATAATGCAAGTCTTATTCGAAAAGGCTCAAGCTTCTTACTAATATTGTAAATGCGAAAATTTGGATATATAGATGGATGTTTGTTAGAAGGTTCAACGGATCCTGAAAAAAATTGGCACAGATGTAAAATATAGTCTGGAAGAACACATAGACTACTAACGAAGTTTTTTTTTGTATTCCGCAGAGAGAGTCGGGGGCGACAGCTAGTTACCAATAAATTAAAATATTAGTCTTATGTTTAGAATCAGTTGCTATAATTTTTTATGTATAAAAAAACCAATGTTGATTTTCTTGTAATTTCAGATTTCATTTTTTTATATTTTATTACGTTCTCGAAGTCGCTAAAAAGTTTCTAGTTTTCGATGGCACGAAGAACAGCATGTACGTAGTTCCTGTTAAAAACGTCGGCGATGGTTACGACATCGATTGGAACGTCATTCAAGATTACAAAGATATACCACCAGTTACGATACCCACTTTAGAGGTGAGAAATACTACTCGTGTGTTTCCATTGCAGAGACAACTAACAAACACATATATAAACAGATTTTCAATCTTTTGAAGTCAATTTTATAACTTCAGAAACTCACCTTAATGCTCGATAGATACAAGTATGGTTGCCAGGTCGCCAAATCTAATAGCCGGACATTTGGGTAGAAAGACCGGAAACTACATTACTGAGGAGAACGTAAAAAGCCTAACAAAAGCCGGACAACCCGGACACCGTTTTTGTCCGGACATGGAATCAAAAAGCCTACTATGTCCGGTCTTATCTTTATGGCTGACAACGCTAGTAACTTGGTCAATTTTTATTTGCTTTTAACTACTAACCGCAACTTTAACTTTAAATGTAAACATTATGTTACTAGGAGCGTAAAGCTGTGAACGTGACAAGAGAGAACTACCAATATAAAGTTGTGACGCCCTGGTACCGCGCCACTATCTTCCCAGACAGGTTTGTTCATTCATTTCTTTCTACGGTTTTTTTTTTGTTTGTATGTCCTCTTTATTTACTTTTTTTCATTTGTACCTTTCTCATAATTTCACAAAATATTAACATGTTTTCATATAAATATTAATTTAAAAATATCAGTTGCTCTTTTAACTTACAAAAACCCTTAGCCTCTTTGTATCCAAGGCAACGTTAATCTTCGAAATTATATTACTACTAGCGGACCCGACAGACGTTGTCTGACAATTTGACACTGCGATGGTAGCGCTGTCTGTCGGATCCAATGTAAAACATTCCAAAATCAACAACTACTAATAAATTAAAAATCAATTAAAAAAACATTGTCCAGCGGACAAAATTGTGAATCTAAACCATTCCCAGATCCCCTTAAGACAAATAAGTTGCGTGCGACTGGTTTTGGCGAATCAAAAACAAAATGTTGGCGATGCATACCTTTGTACGAAATCGGCGGGTTTTGAAGATGTACGTTGCCTTGTGTATTTACAGCCTTACAATCATATCACCCCTCTCTTTCTCTTTGATAACTTATCATCTCCCTATCCTTATCGCACTCATGTAGGGTTAGCGCACCAGTTTTTCTTCCAGATCGACCTATCTACCGTCATTTTATTTCCTTTTGACAACTCACTGACAATATCTTTGAGCTGAAATTTGCAGTTTAATTAGATAAGGTAAAGTATTTATTAAAGTTTTATTTGAATTCGATTTAGATATATAGTGTCCGATGTACTGGAGTACATGAGTCCGCAGTCTCTGTTCGGATCCAATACGTTTGCGACGTATGCTAACTACTACTCCAATAAATACAATTTGGAAATAGAAGGCGACAGAAATCAACCATTGCTGGAGGTAATTATAGAATATGGCTTATGTATTATAAGTAGGCAAGCTAGCAACACAATACCAGAGGAACCGCAGATAAGTAACTGACTTTTAAGGTACGCCTCTTGAAGGACACTTGTGGTTTTTAGTTATAAAGTTTGTAAGAAGAGTGTACTTACCACGATTGGACGTTTGTAATCACAAATGAACACGTAATTGTAGCTCACGTGAGGGACAATATGTGATTTAAAGGCTTCTTTGCTCTCAAATAGCCGCTTTCATAAGGCTTATTAAAGACGTAAATCGTCAACGCAAGTTATATTCTGCCAACCGTCTCCGCCATCTTGAAACTCGCAGTCGCTTCTTACATAAATGAAGGGCCTGAATTACTTTCTACCTAAGTAGATTGGTGCTCTTTATGTGCTTTTTGATCGTTTTTCCTGTACTGAAGAGTAAAAGAAATAATTGTACAGGTCCGTAATATCAGCACGTCTATGAACTGTCTAATGCCGAGGGCGGCCACAATCAAGTCGTTCACTGAGAAGCAACGCAAGTTAATCAGCGCGGCGCAGGGGGACGACAAGCCGAGAAGTTTCTTAGAAATATTTATACCAGAGTTCTGTATTAAATACGATTTTCCCGGCGTCTTGTGGTACAAGGCTACCATCCTGCCGAGTATATTGCACAGGTATATACCTTCGTAAAGTGATGTAATTGAAATATAAAAACTGTCACCCGCGACTGCATCCGCGCAGGATAAAGTAAAACTTAATACCCTATGTGTTTTACAAGACTATATTGTACATCTACGCTAAATTTCATCGAGATCCGATGAATACCACGACCACACAGAAGACAGGCGTCAATTGCAAGCAATTCCGCGTACAGTCTGATGAGTGTGCGTCCCGGAGGCCTAATTTTAGTCCTCTTTCCCTTCCCATCCTTTTTCTTATAAGGAAAGGATGGGAAGTGGAAGTGGAATTTTCGGATGAGAGGATGCATGGAAAGAGAAAATATTTTCTTTCTGTGCATCCTCTCCTCCGTCGATTAAAAGTAGACAACGCATATGCAATTGCGTATATCTATGGGCAACGGTCGCTTCGCTATTTCAGCGATTTCAGGCCGCTCGCTCGTTTGCCACCTTATGATAAAAAAGCCATTTCGGAGATACTTTGTAACAAAGATCCATCCATTCAAACAAACATTCACATTAATAATGTTAGTATGATATGTGTGACAATGTGCATTATTATTAATATATTTCAGGGTACATATGTTGCTAGTGGCGGAGGAACTTCGTATTGAAATCGCGACAGCCACCAAATATGGACAAGTTAAATTGAATAAAGGTAAGTTCTACTGCAATTAAAATAAAGTTGCAACTAATTTGCAAAGAAATTTTTTTTCTAGCACGCTTACCGTGGGTTTCTGAGACTAAAATGGCTGTTTAAAACATATTGCTATTTCTGTTTTGTCACAGATAGATATGTTTTTACAGAGATATTAATATCAGAAACCCACGGCAAATTGCTGAAGGGTACCAAAAGTTTTACTGTTTACTATATATATGTACCTATAGTATATAAAGTGCAAATTTTTCCATGATATAATTTTAAATATTATATTTTTTATTAATAATAGCAGTTGTCCGTAACTTCGTCCTCGCGGATTTTAATAAAATATCTACTAATAAATATAGTCCATGTCACCCAGGGATAGTGTAGCTTACCAACAGTGAAATAATTTTTGAAATCGGTTCTGTACTTTCGGAGCCAATGAAAACAAACAGTCAAATCTGTTCTCTTCATAATATTAGTAACAAAATAAACAGGTGAGAAGTGGGAGCCAGTAGAAGTGAATATTGAGGTCGCGAAAAAATCCATGTTGTCTCAAATTGAGGGCCCCGAAGATAAAATGGCAGCCCTCAAAAATACAGTGGACAGGTAACATTCAAAATGTAACAAAGTACTTTATAACATTTTAAATACTGTTTTCAATTAGCTAAAACTTGTAGTCAGAATGTCTTGTGTGTAACGTTTATTAAAATTACGCCTTATAATACTTGTTCAAACTTTATGATATGAAGGAAAAAAAACAAATTTAAAGATAAAAGACGTCGCCCTGACTGCCCGCAGGAATTTAAAAAAACTTAGTAAGTCTATGTATTCTTGCAGACTATGTTCTACATCTATGCCAAATTTCAGCGAGATCCGTTGAATTCTTCCGGAGAAACCTTCAAACAAACATCCATCCATCTAAATATTCGCATTTATAATAGTAACATTAGTAAGTGTTGGTTGTATGCGGCTTGATTTTATAACTTACCTTGTTTTGATTTTGGTTTGGTTTTTGATATGGTTTTCTCAGAATCAAATTGGTGTTATTTCAGAATAAACAATCCTATAGATGAGAGCGCCCCGAGGCCTGTCAAATTAATGTCCATGAAAGATAGTGTATATCAGCTGCAGAAACAAAAGATTAACAAAGAATATCCCTGGGAGGTAAGTTTTATTTAAAAAAAAAACTTAATTATTAGCCTATGTCTTCCAGACTATGTACTATATCTTTGCCAAATTTCAGCAAGTTCCATGCAGCTGTTCTGGAGATACGTTTTAACAAATATACATTCATCCAAACATTCGTATTTTTATTAGTAAAATCCTCCAATGTATGACTATTTTCGCAGTCATTATCCTTTATTCCAGATATAGAATAACTTATACACAGACGCCAAGATTTACTCTCACAACACTGAATAATTGTGTAAGGTCGTTTACTTTATAATTTATTTCTTATACTTACAAATTAAAAAAAAAAATATAACACTAACAAGTTTTTGTCAAAATAAAGCTTAACTAAGTAGTGTTACAAATAACATATTCAAATTAAAAAAAAAGTTTTAACACCATTTATATTTACTTTACCATAAAATCTATGCGTTCAAAATAAAAGAAAGAAAGCTCAATGAACTAGCCTGTAAGATTCTACAGACGATTCCGCATCGATTGGTCATAGTCTCATATTAATTTGTTCAAAAGTCATAGATAGGGAATGTTAATTTTATTTAGATTGAGATTAATCCATCCAAAACGAATACGAGTATAACTTTTCAAGTTTTTTTACCAATGTAAGTGACTAAAATAATCTTAGGAAATTCTACTGTCGAAACACCATTTAAAAAAACATTTTATCCATGTCTTAAAAAAAAAACAAAAAGATTCGGTCGTAATAAGGTTGAAAAATATTTTTTTGATTAGGAAACCATGGAGCCAATTGATATAGATCGTAACTTGAACACAGTGACCGTGATGGATGTCGAGTGTTATGATGAGTTTATTAGCGCGCCTTTGCTCACGGTGCCTAATGCCGTGCCTGTTGTCACCCCGAATATCACGGTCGCACCGCACATCTCCGCCGCCATATTGCCACCACCGATCATGTGAGTTTGATCAAAGAAATTATTCATCATCAGTTAACTATATGTCCCCACCGAGAGGCTCGGAGCCTACCCTAAGTTAAGGGTGATTAGGCCATAGTCAACCACGCTGGCCAAGTGCGGGTTGGTTGACTTCACACATATCTTTGAATTTCTTCTCAGATATGATCCTTCCTCGTAAGAAAGTCGGATAAATGTACATATGTAAATCGGAAAGCGAAAAACACATTGCTACAAGGCGGGATTCGAACCCAGGACCTGCAGATTGCAAGTCAAGTGCCACTCCTGGGCCACCGACGATCTTAAGATATTTTTAATTGCAATAAATTTGATATACTTCGACTTGGAGAATATTATCACATTCTTAGCGTGCGTGCCCTTTAGATACGCTATCATTATGACTATTTGAGATTTTTACATGTATGCTTAACATTTTTTCTCGAATTTAATTAATTCTTTTCGTTCGTTTCGTTCTTCTTAAAAGCAGTGAACGTATCTAACGGTGGGTTTCTGAGACCAAAATCCCCGTTTAAACATACTATTGTTATCTCTATTTTGTCAAAGATGAAGGGATGACGATATATTTTATAAAGATATTTTGGTGTCAGGAACCCATGGTTAATCATTGACGAAACAGTGATAAGAAAATTAGTTTTACAGGGATTTTGATCTTAGAATCCAGCAATAAGTCATTCAGTTTTGTCCACTTTAGTGAGCAATTCATGCGCTAGTAATTCGTTATTTATCTTGATTCAAAATTACAGATACAATGACAAGATAAATATACTATTAAAAGAGCCAATCGGCCGCGGACCGGAGCAGAGAGATATCCTGACAGCTCTCACAACCATCAAATCCCACGACAACTTTGACTTGGAGCGTATTGAGACTTTGGGAGACGCGTTCCTCAAGTTCGCCGCCACCTTGTATCTGTTCCATAAATTCCCCGCTCTGAACGAGGGACAACTCACTAACATCAAAGGTCAACTTATTGGCAATAGGTACATTTACAGTATTCTATATATTACTAGCTGTCGCCCGCGACTCTGTCCGCACGCAATTTAAAAACAACTTAATGAGTAGCCTATGTGTTCTTCCAGATTACGTTCTGGGCAAATTTCATCAAGATCCTTTGAACATCCATCTAAAAATTCGCAGTTATAATAATAATAACATAGTAGCTTTTGCCCGCGACTTCGTCCGTATGGAATTAAAAATTAGTATCCTCTGCGTTCTTCCACGTTGTGTTCTACATCAAAACCAAATTTCATCCGATCCATCCATAAATTATAAGTAAGACATTTAACGTTTTACTATTGCTATATTGTACCTGGTTTTTTTTAGAAATCTTTACTATGCTGGTGAAAAAATACGTTTGGGCGGTCGTATGAAGATTGAGGGATTCAGTCCAAGAACCGATTTCGTAGTCCCAGGATTTTTTGCCCCCAAAGAAGTTCAGGAGTTTATTGAAGAAAAGCGGGTAAGTTATTTCCAATTCTAAGAATTAATACGCAGTAATTTTTCATCCTTTAGTAATAATAAAAACCAATGTGATGTTTTCATTATAATGTATTTGTACATTGTTTTTATATAACTACTGGGAACCATTAAAGCTTAATATAATTAAACAAAACAAAATTAATTGTTGAAAATCATATTCATATCTCAAATTTTTCAAACGTAATTACATCATCAGCTCACTATACATCCCACTGAGGGTCTCGGAAACCCACCCTAAGGAGTTACTGTGACTTGTCAATGAAACGTCAGTGAAAATCAACAGAAAGTAATCAAATATTTTGCCTTAATATTATTAGATGTTATGAACTGAAAAATAGTATAATTAAAAAGCTGCATTGTGCAAAAATTTTAAAATTACGTATATCAGTCGCTTACTAAATTATTACTTAATTTGCTCATATGATGTTACAATTAACTATAAACTTCATATCACAAATAACTGATTGATCATATGATATTAGAAAACGCCTTAAACCAAAGAAAGAACCTACAAATTTATATTACAAATTTAACGAATTTCTCTTGCGGTACTCTAAAATAGCTGCCATCCCTTTGAATATGTCGTCGGCGAGCTCTTTAGGTACTTCTAAGCCGGCAAAATGGCCGCCGTAATCGTAAAAAGAGCAATGAACTATATTTTGGAACTTGTCTCGGAGCATCCACACCGGCATGTGCACGACTTCGTAGCGGAAGTTGACGACAGCGGTGGGCACTTTTGTAGGAATGCTGGAAAAAATAAATCGAATCAAAAATATAATTTATAAATTTTTTATCATTATTTCGTAATGAATAATGATAAGATCCGAAATCTTATAAATAAGTCCCCTTCCTACTACGTAGGTGGAAGTATAGATGTAATTATTTATTCCTGACTAGCTGTCGCCCGCGACTCCGTCTGTGCAAAATAAAAAAGAACTTAATAAGTAACCTATGTGCTCTTCCAAAATATATCTACATCGAGATCTATGCAGCCGTTATCAAGATACCTTCAAAAATCCATCCATACATCCAGACATTCGCATTTAAAATATTAGTAAGACTATCTTATCCGTGTGTCAGGTCTTATTATAGTAAACCGATCCAATAAGAATTTTCAAACTTTCATTGTTTGAAATCTTTAAGTGAAAAGGAAACTTACTTGTCAACAATCTTGGCCTCTTTATTGCTGCCCTCCGCGTACAGTCTGGTAGAGGTGACGATGCAGTTGGTGTTCCACAAAATGGTGAGGGTATCGAGCACGTCCTCCTGCTCCAAGGCGGCGAGACCGCTATGTTCAGTGTTCGTCTGGTCTCTGTTTGTGCACACGCCGATCTTCTCCATGACGTAAGCGGCCAAGCCCGCGGGAGAGTCAGTTAAGCCCACTCCTACAAATTATTTTATAAATATCAAGTTTTTCAGACGACGTTACTGTAAAAATGACTACAATAACCTGCTTATCATTATGGTCTTGAATTTTGCTTTATCCTATTCTTTACCGGAATAAAGTTACAATGGTAATAAATCATGTCACTCATTTTCTTAAAATGAACAACAGTACGACAACAGTACATTTGTTCATATGAATTTACATCTTAACAATAAAGGTACACTTTCACAGACGTACAATGAATAAGCACTGATTGCATTGTACGCAGACATTGTAAAGATCCCGATCGCATTCGAACATAAATACTCACCGATAGTATCCGGCTTGGTGGATTGTATATGCATATATCCGCTTTCTCTCAACAAGTACGAGAAGAGATCTGACAACGGGTACACTCTGTTCACGTACTTGGGATCCATTACGAAGTTGGGCACTAAAGATCCGAGGAATAGTTTCAAATAACTGTAAGGTCTGGAAGTTACGGCCATGGTGGAGTGGTATCTGTAATGAGCAATGATTATAAATATTACTTCTGTTACATTGATTTACTTGATACATTAAAACAGGGCTGGTTTTAGAATTTCCGGCGCCCCTTTTTTGCTTTCGGGCAAAAAAACTTTGAAAGAAAGGGGAACTTAGGGAGCAACGCAGGCGCTAGAGTCGGATATAACGTGAACCCTGTGCTCTGCGCCCTGAGCGGTTGCCCAACCTCGCCCTACTTCAAAGTTACTGCTTAAAAAAATATAGCGTGTTGTATTGTTAGAGATCTAAAGCAGACGGTAGTTTTAGGTCTTTTCCGGTCATTCCACTCATGTATGTAAAACTACTAAGCTTCAAAGACTGCAATCTATGTCTAATAAATAATTCTGTATATTCAACTCTTTGTATACTTACCCTAATATCTCATCGGGAAATACTGTAGTCATGTGAGTGGCGACATTCGATCCCCAATCACCGGCGTGGATATAGAATTGGTTGAAACCGAGGCGTCGCATCAGATTCCTCATTATCACGCCGATGTGCAGACCAGATAGGCCTGGTTTATTCGTGCCCTAATGTAAAATAATATGACATCTTACTAATATTATAAATGCGAATGTCTGAATGTTTGTTAGAAGAAATATACGGTATTACTATTTTAGTTGCCCAATTTTCATCAATATTTGCCTATTGTCATAGTATCGTTGGATTACTAGGTACGATGTATTGGAAAATAAATGCCGCATCAATTTCGGAAGGCGCGTTTTATCATTATTAGATTAAGTAATAATTTAATCAGCAATAATAATATAACACAAATTATAAATATAAAAACATTTAAAATGATCATTTTAATGTCAGATCCGATGATGTTTGAATGCATAAAACTAGTGAATATTTGTTCGGACGACTTTAAAATACGAAATTCCCGATCATTGTTATTTTTGTAAAAATGACAAAATCTAATACTATCCCCAAAGCTATTCCTGCAGTGGTACTTACAAAAGTGCAATAAATAATAAATGTTTTCTGCCTTTAGATAAATTATTTCAAGTTACAACCGGCTTCAATTGCTAACATCAATCTGACTTGACAACAGTATAAGGATAATAGATACGTTTGTACAGACGTTTTTGTAACAATTTATCTGTCTATAAATAGTACTGGTCTCATAATTATCTTGAAGTAAATTGATTCTAATTACACATATGAATTTACCTCAGAGAAACCAAAGCCGGGTAAATCTGCGGCGATTACTTCGAACACGAAGTCATATCCAGTTCTTTGGGTTGTTAACAAAGGTATTACTTTCTGGAACTCCTTAGATGAACTCGGCCATCCGTGTAACATTAGTAAAGGCAACGTTTTCACACCTTGCACTTTTGGTTTGACTCTGATGAAATGAATATCTAATCCTTGGACACGTGTCTTGTAACGTGGCAATTGATTTAAGCGGTTTGCCCTCTCCTTGAAATCGTACTTTTCAACCCAGTTGTTTAAAACTTTCTCCAAATATATTGTGTTCATTCCATATTCCGATTTGATACCTTCCAATGGTTTTGTGAGCGGACGCCTGTTTTTTAATCTGGATTTCAAATCTGCTATCATCTGTAATAAATTAAATCTACATTTCCTTCCTTAGAAAGCAATTCCGTAATAATTATACTATCTTGTGTTAGAAATTAATAAAATATTCATATAATCGCTATATAAAACACAGCAAAATAATATGCAAACAAATGTTAATCATTTAATGTTGAGTTATACGATGTTACCACTATAAGTTTTTTTTTATTATTATTTGGTGGTAAACGAGCAATCAGCCATCTGAATTCGCCGAAATGGCGAAGCGACCGCTGTTCAAATACATCAGCTATTGCTGATAGGTTGCCTACTTTTAATCGGCGAAGGAGGAGACGCACAGAAAGAGAAAATTTCCCCTTCCTAGGAGCCCCCATCGCCATCATCAAATTCCGTTCCCCCAGCCCATCGTTTCCTTATAAGAAGACATTATTCCTTCTACTAGTTTTTGTCGCCCACAAAGTTTGTTGCTTAGTTTGCGCTTGATTCTTCGAGATTAATACTTCTAAGCCAAAAAAATAATTTTCAATAAATAATTACCGTATCGTTGAATTCAATTTTGAACGGTCGAACACTCTCGTCTTCGTCTACTTTTTGTCCTTTGCCCCACCATCTCTCGTAATCAATTTTAGGTAGTTCGGGTGATCGCTGCAGGTAACTTATGAATCCATAAGTCGCAATCGCAATCAGAGCGACTAAAATTGTTAAAACTTTCAACATCTGTAAATAAAAAGTTTAACACATAATTTTTGTTACTTTCTTTGATTTATAGTTGCTTATGTACATATACATGGTACAAATACATGGTATGTAATGAAATGAAATTGACCTCTTTATGTATTTTATCGCATACTCTTTACCGAGATATAGAAATATTTTTTATTATCACCGGATGGTATTGTTTTTTTATAGCGTTTTTGTTACATTTGTTTTTTTTTATTAAAAAATCCTTAGTATGCTTTTTTCGCTGCATTGATATAACTTCATAGATAATCTAATAAAATTGGGTTAGGAGTATCAGTTAACTCATTAAATACATACATACATATTTTAAAAATATGTGTATGAAACATTACACATGATTGTTTTTGAGTTTTAAGTATATAAAGGCACGTGCATCTAGTACTAGTTATGAATAAAATATTTATTCTTGTCTGAACAGATATAAACTTTTAAAGCATCTATAAAAAATAGCAGACGCATATTAATTACACTCAACGTGCCATTCACGCAACGAGCTCTCAAAAAATAATGACTTAAAACATCTTGCTAATATTATAAACACGAATGTTTGAATGTATACATGGATGTTTGTTATCTTGTTATGGATTTTGGATCTCGCTAAAATTTGGAATATATAGAACATAGCCTGCAGTATCACATAGGCCACTAATTATCTTTTTAATTCCGCGCAGACGGAGTCACGGCCGACAGCTAGTATTTGTATAATACTGATGTTAACTCATGGATGTGTATGAACGTTCAATTTCCGGTTTCTTAATAAAAATAAACTAACTCGTTAATCTACACTAATATTAGCATAAGAGTTTGTTTAAACGCAAATCTCAGGAACTACGAGTTCGATTTGAAAAATTCTTTTTTTGTTGGATAGTCCGCCACTGGACCTATATACGTGAGTGTTTAGCCGTGTTTATATATCAGTTTAAAAAAAAGAAGAACATACAGACGAATTGATAACCTCCTCCTTTTTGAAGTCGGCTAAAAAAACCTTATAACGAAATGTTTAATTAATTTTAGTACCCCTCAAATTAGATATAACAATTTAACAGAAAAAGTTAGATGTATCTATGATTATTTAGTTTATTTAAGAATGACGTTGTATACTCAACGGATTTTTCACTTTACCAGTCAAGTCGGTTGCATTTTGTAGCAAAAAAGTTGGAGTCTTACTTAACGGTACGATGTTAATAAATACCGCTTGTTTAGCACCGTTTATAACACGTGTAGAAGAGTAAAGTTACATGTATTTTCTGCGAATGCAAGTATATCGATCCTCTATACGATACGTTACTTTTATTTTTCGAAAAGAACCGTATTTAGTTTCGTTAAGATAGGAGCAAAGAAAAATTACCTACATGAAATTGACTGCTGTATTTACTTTCTATGTTTTGAATGTAATTTTTGGGCAAAATAATAAAAATGCATATTCTGAAATCAGTTTAATCCGCCTTAGACTTTAGTAATTAAAAAAGTTATAAAGGTGTGCAGTTAAATTAAAATTATGTTAGTAATTTTGATTAAATTTAATAAATAATTTGTGAAAAGGAATTATAAATTTAAACGTATAAATGGTATTTGCGAACTGTGTTTGTATGAGTTAAAAAAAATATTTTTTCATTTAGGAATTGCTTACTGTTCCTCCTTTTTATTAATTGCGGGATTTGATTATGTATATCTTCTATTTACGATTTTATATAAAAACTACGACAGACAGAGTAATCTAAGGTAGGTATTTTACAAAAGATTTTATGTATTTTTAGTACCTAGTTTAAGGTTGGTCTGCCTATAAACAAAGTTACTGGTCATCTAAGATTCACCTATACCATCTTATTTAAAAATCTAAATATAAAGTAAATAATTACAATTAAAAAAATCTTGAATAGTAAACAAAAAGTAAAAAAAACCTGTTTATCGCATAAAAAACACCGTACCTTTTGTTAGCCAGTTGATCACTGCTAGTGTAAAAAAACAATGAACTGAGGCAATTTAAAACACGAGAGTGAAGAGACGTCACGACCGCTCGCTTCGGCGTCGCGTGCCGGAATTATGAATTTCGATGATGTAGATGTATTGAAACTAGTACCGCCTATCTACAGCCGATGAATAATATGACCTTGACCCTGTGCAAGCATCGTTGCTGGCCTTCAGTTAAAAAAAAAACAATTTTAATAATTTAATTGAAAATTAACGATTTAGGACTAAATCAGAGCGAAAAATTTTATTATACAGGAATATACAACAAAGAAGTCGCCTAAAACTAAAAATGAATATGTTCATTTTTTTTATAATTATTTAACTGTTACTCATGACCCCAGAGTCTTCAGAAAAAGGTGATTTAGACCTATGTACCATCAACAGCTGTTAACACGATAGCTATATATTTTACATATTATTATTACCATTTTTGTCCAGGTGTTCAATTCGACTGTTGGATTTGAATGTTGAATTATATTAAAATTACAATAACGTTCTCGTAACTCTTTTTATCGTTCTGGTTTGGTATACACCGTTTTATTCATTTGCTAATTTGTCTCCTTCAAGAAATACCCTGCAACTAATATCCAGTTTAAGTCAATGTCTTAAGTAATGTAAACATTATGACGGTATTAGTTTATTAATTATAACTACCTCTAGCACGTGACTTCGTTCGCGCGGTTTTGAAAAATATAGTAATAAATATAGCCTATGTTATTCGGTGAAAAAAAAATCTTTTTTTTTCTTTTTGTAAAGAGTAATTTCCTAATGGCAAAATAATTTTCCAAATCAGTCCAGTACTTTTTGAGTTTATTCGTTACATAAAAATACTAATAATTCCTCTTATGATATTAGTGTAGATAAGTAATTACTTTTTTCAGCTGATTCATTAGATTAGATATGACACACGATGAATCATGAATAAATATTATCGTGATAAATTTGTTCTTACCATAATTTTGTTACAAACTACCTGCTACCGGCATGCGTTGTAATTCCAAAGTCGAAAGTCTAAAGTCTAAGTAATGTTAAACAAACAAACTTACCTGATCCGATGTAGCTGTTATGTTTTTTCTATTATCTTATGTCATTCTTATGCATAAGTATGTTTTATATACTTCTTGGTGGAACTAACCGCGATAGCAGCGCCCCTCTCACCGGGACAAATCTCTTTGTAGACCATATAGTCACATACTGTCCAAGTTCATGCTATACGCGTGATGTTGCGTAAAATGCATTGAATCTTTCGTACTTAATACCATTATAACGTTTTAACGAGAGGTATCATTTTATTCATTTTCTATCCCGTAGTTTCATAAAGCGGGAAAAGAAATAGTCATGATCCTACGGGAAAATACATACAAACAAATTGATGTACAGTAATTTGGAGTTTTTATATTTGTTTTGATGTATATGGATATCATAGTTTAACTATAATGTTGGCAGAGAAACCATGTTCACTACTAATTAATATTACAAGGTTACATCTCTTTATATATCAAGTAAGGTCTAACATTAATTCAAATATCTTTGTAATTTCCAGATCAGACCGTCGTTCCTACTGGGTATGCAGTTCCCACTGGAAGATGCACTAAGCGGCAAGTTATCCAGTGACAGTATCGCGCAGATGGAGAAACGATACAAAGAATGCGACGGTGTGGCCGAACAGGAGCCGCTTTGGGGCGCGCAAAACTCCATGCAATGTTATGTGTCCGTCCAGGTCACGCACGACAAGGTACTGACTCAGATACAATGAAAAGAGACTTCGTCATATAACCAAAATCTCACTATAATCGCCCAGTATCAGTGTACAGTCAGCAGCATAAATATGTGTACATTTATAAATATTAGAAACTTGTACAGAGCACAGTTTAAAAAAAATATGTTTACAAATATTCGTCAATATCATGTATTGATGGTCAGAAGAAGCATATAAACGGACAACTGTATACATTTTTATAACCAATGGCTTCTAGAAGTTTTTAAAATTTAAAATTTGGAAATATTCATGAAGCTGACTGTACTAACGGTACTACTACGTCTAAACTCTTGATGATTGGTTTTCGACGACCTTGCTCAATTTTTTTTCCTGTGTTAATTGTAAGGAATATGAATTAGGATCTTCCAAGTAGTACATCATGAAAGACCTTTAACGCATCTTCAGATCGTTTAATAGTTTGCAAATGTATTACTTATTTTATGTTACCCCAGAACTTTATTACACTGACATGTGTTAGTACATATTGTCATCCTTTACATTCTGCTTGATAAGAAAGAGACAACAATATGTGCCTCTGATCAGTTTCTCGTTTTCGTTTCAAGTCGCGTTAACAATATTATTGTATAGTAATAATAATTAATTTTTATTTTCAGTCTGTGGCAGATTGTGTGGAAGCTTTAGTGGGCACTTATTTGATGCACGGTGGTATTTTGGGAGCTATCAAAATTTTGGAATGGATGAAAATTATACCCGAGAAGGTAACTATTGGTGCATTTGTATTCTTTTTTTTAATGATAGGATAAGTATCTTCATATAAGGAACTGTGGAATTTATTACGTATTTCAAATAAAACTACATAAGGTACCTGATTAAAGTAATTATCAGTATAATTGAGTGAAAACGAACAGATAGTGATGAAGTGACTTGCCAATTATTTGAAGATATTTTATGTAAAATACTTATTTATTGTGTAACATTCAATTTAAATATTAATAAAAAATAGCAATCATTAAATAGCTCTTAGATTAATTTTAAAAAGATAAAAGTCATGGACGATATCGTTTTACGTTTCTCACGGAAAACGCAAACTTAAATCGGCCAATGTTCTGCATTGCCGCGTACCTTAGAACTTTGTATGATACAATTGGCTTTGGATTCGTTTATGTTATTCGTTTCTTTACTTCTTTGTCATATTATATAACAAGTCAATTCCGAAATAAGTCAAAAAAAACTTGAGTAACTTTTTTTGTAAAATAAATATATAACATCAAGTATAATCCACTATCAGCTTAAAAAACAGAACTTAAATGTATGTGAATCAAAGCATTTTGCGAACAAATAAAATTTTAGTAGCTTATGTGTTCTTCCAGACTATATTCTACCTGTATGCGACATTTCAGCGAAATCCATGCAGCCGTTTCTGAGATACCTTCTAACAAATATCCATCCATCCAAACTTTCGCATTTATAATATTACTAACATAACTAGTCGTATTGAAAAAAAAATCGCAATTTCACTTACATACAAAAAGTTCCATGCCACTACGATAGTAGTATGGAAAGTGTTAATTGTTAAATTACACTGCAATGATATTCGTTTTAACACAATATGTCATGTTGTCTCTATTTTTTTAAAGAGAATTTGAGGGATGACGATATGTTACATGTTTCGAATCGAAATCAACAATTATCTTGTATTCATTTTAGGACAATTTAGCATCACTTTTAACAAGACGCATGACAACAGTGCTCTCAAAGAACACCGTACCTCTCACGGAGATCGATTTCCTATTAAACTACAGCCGACAAGATGTTGAGGAGATATTGAATTATAAATTCAAAGATCCCTCGCTTTTACTAGAGGTAAGTTTTATAAAGATAATCTTCGGCACAAGTTTCCGTATGTGCTGAGTAAAAAAAAAACTAATTAGAAGCCCTTATGTGCTTCCAAACTCTGTACATCCATGCCAAATTTCAGCGAGATCCCTTTAGCCGTTCCGGAGATACGTAATATTAAACATGCATCTCAATTTTGGTTTTTATAATATTAGAATTAAAAAAAATATCACTTAATTAGTCCCTAAATAATGATTAAATTGTATGTTTATAGGCTTTATCCCACCCGTCGTACATTCGCAATCGTTTGACAAGCTCCTACGAGCGGCTGGAGTTCCTCGGCGATGCGTTGTTGGATTTCCTCATAACGTCGCACATATTCGAGCAGTGCCAGGACTTCAAACCAGGAGATATCACTGACTTGAGATCAGCTCTCGTCAATAATGTCACATTCGCAGCATACGTCGTCAAACTGGGATTACAAAAGTAAGTCATGGTCGGAATATCGCATGAATCGTTGTCCAGAAACATAATTTTAGGTGAAAAGCACAAAGGCACTGCAATTCAAGGTCACCGCATAAAAATATCGCCTGCACATAGGTAATGACGAAAATTGCCATACTTGTTGGAATGTAGGTTTTGTCATGTTCTTTTCTGGTCTATGGACTGAAGTTATCCGACCAGCGGGGTTAGACAAAGTACATTTCTCATCAAAGCGATTTCATAGCGAACTTCAAAATTGTATGGAACTAACGCCAATAATCACGTGACTTATCGAAAGTTATTGTCATCATCATCATCATGTATACATTTTTGAAGTTCGTTGTGGAATCGCTTCGGAGCGAATGCACTTTGTCCAAACCCCCTGAAGATTGTGACAGTAAATTTGAAACTAAATTAGCGCCCCCTCTTAAAGTTAAAAAACATGTTATAGGATCCTTCTACTGTTGTCTTGCTATGTTTTTTTTTAAAGTCATTTTCTAGTTTCAAGTAGGTTTTACGTTTTTTTTTATTAGCGTCAATATGTAGCCCATAAACGTGCTTTATTCAGACCAGATTATTTTTTTATAATTTTACTCGAATGTAGTATTTTTATTTGGAAGTTTCGATACGTAAATGAAAAATTATTTTCAGATACCTTTGCTCGCAGCTCAACCCAGTATTGGGTGGTGCTATAATGGCTTTCGTAGAGCATCAGGAGCAGAGGAACCACGAGATAGTGGAGGATATTCTCTACCTCATTGAGGAGGAGGAATGTCAAGTTGCAGAATACGTTGAAGTACCAAAGGTATGAAAGCAGACAATTTTAGTAAATATTATCTTTGACTTTTAATGACAGGACCTGTCAAGCGCCGCATTCTCTGTCAAAGAAAAATGAAAATAGGTTGTCCAGTTTCTTGCTTATTTCGTGATTTTGTGTATAAATTTTTGAATAAGTTTGCGTTCGTCCGTGCAGTCAAATATATCATCAGCCTACTATGCGTCCTCACTAAGGGACTCGGATCCTACTATAAGTCAGGGATGACCTAGGCATAGACAACCACGCTGGCCCAGTGCGGATTGGTTGACTTCATGTCTATCTTTGAGTTTCTTCGCAAATATGTGCAGGTTACAGCACGATGTGGGGACATATAGCTAGCTAATGATATTTCCTAACTGACCGAGTAAAAATAAATATAATAATATTAGCTGTTGCCTGGGACTTCGTCCGCGGGGAATTAAAAAAAAGACAAAAACATATGTGCTCATCCAGACTATGTTCTATATATATATGCTCAATTAAATCGAAATCCGTTCAGCCATTGTAGTGATACGTTTAAACATTTATTTACAAACATCCATCCTTTTTTTTATAATAGTAATATAGACTATAAATAAAAATGGTTTTAGACTTTGAGCGACTTGTTCGAGTCGCTGGCGGGCGCGATCTACCTGGACAGTGGGGGTGATCTGTGCGCGGTGTGGCGGGTGGTGTACCGCATCATGCACCGCGAGATACACGCCTTCGCGCGCCGCATCCCGCGCCAGCCCGTCGCCGTGCTCTCCGAGATGGTCTACGCCTGCCCGCAATTCGGGTATGCAAAATAACCGATTGCCCGCGACTTTGTTAGCGGATAAAAATAGCCGATGTCCCTCCCACATACATCAGCCACCTTCCAAGTCCAGTCCAAGTCCCGTCAAAATCAGTCCACCCGTTTCTGAGATTAACCGGAACAAACGCGGACAGACATACATAATTGAAAAAAAAACAATTTTCGTTATAAACAAAGCAAATATATCATGTGTTTTCATTTTTTTTTCGTTATTACATACAAACAGTCCAATTTTATTATCATGTGTGATTTGACATTTTTTTTATGAAATTTGAATTAAGAAAATTAGTATTGTTCTTGTTTCATCAGTTCTCATGATTTAGGATTGACAAATCTGTTTGTAACATCAATTTTCGAATTTACAATTCTATGTTACAGAAACGCCACATTATCAAAGACTGAACGGTCAAAGGTGATGGTTCCAGTCACGTTTACGAAAGATGGCCGCCAGCACACCGTGTACGGAGTCGGCAGCAACAAGATGCAGGCAAAGCGCGCCGCCTCTAAATTAGCCCTCAAAGTCCTCGGATGTTGAACAACATAAACAAATTGTATAACAACATGTTTTATCTATACACAACCACCAATTCACAAATTGTATTCCTCAGATTTAAGATACATATGCCAAATTTTTTCAAGCCTAATAGTTGTAGCCATGTATTAAACGTGGTTTAGAGTTCTAATCCCATCATTCGTTTAAAAATATTTATTTTAATTTACCTGAAATCATTTCAGTGTTTCCAAATTCGCGATAAAATGTAAACATTTTTAATTTTTTTTTAATATAATAGCAACTAGTTTTATTTTTTATACAATCTGACTCTCAATGAATTTATTCAAGCCCGGAATGCTGAAGGGTATTTTCTTCCATAATTATATTTAACTATTTTTACACTGTAACCAAATAGTTATGTAATAATTGTCGGATTTTTCTTTTCTAAATCGCACCTTTTGTTTCCAAAAACGAATTTATTATTGTTTTTTTTATGAAATTGAATGATTTTGTTTCAAAACAAATTGTCTACCAATAAAATTTTATATTATTTATATCTAAGACTATTATGTACATATGTTAATTACTTTTATTACAATATTTGACGAAATAATTATATTAAAAAATTTTATATTGTACATTACTGTACTTGTAAAGGAATTTAATTTCAAGATGGAAGGTGTGTAACTGTAGGATACCACTGCATAAAAACAAATTGTCCTCTCAGTGAATATTTTTAGATATATCGGCAGTGGAGACCAATTGTAAGATTGTCACAAATGTGTAGGTCATTGACCTCTATAGATATGGACAGGTCGCTGCGTTGTTTCATTTGTTTGCTTGATAAAATCAAAATTTATATGAAATTTATGCACAAGTTATGTCAACGACGTTACGAAAACGTTCTCAAGAATAATCGTACTAGGACCTGTGAGAGTTACTGTTCACTACTAACCGATGCCTGCAGCGCGGAAATGTCGACAATGAAATAGGCACAAAATGTAACGACTTATAGCCTGTACATGTATAGAGGTCAGTTTTGTAGATAGTAAAGGATCCTTTCATTTAACATGATTATCAATATCTTTTTTAATGTTGAAATACATTCCCAATGTAAATTTGGTTTGATTGCTCAGTTCCGTCTGGTGAGCGGAATGCAAAGAATTCTCTATTTTCTCCAATTATTATTTCTTTTCTTACATACTTTCGTAGGAAGAGAGCATATAGTCAATGCATGTGTATTAGAAAATAAGTCATATACGAATGAAGCAGAATATTTTTTTCAAAATAATCGTAGGTTTCTCTTTCTAAATATCTTGGCGGCTCTACGTGATGTGCGCGCTACGCAGTGCCCTCCCTCCGCACTCCGCTACACTTAACATTGTGTTCTGCGCAACGAGTCGCGCGAACTTTAGAGCTGCAGAGATATTTGAAAACATTTTTAACATGAAATGTGAAATTCTATTTTTCTTGTCAAACTTTTGAATATTATTTTTTATTTTATGAGTTTTTAATTAGATTTAAATATGGAAGTTCCGTTATTTTTAACATAACATTAAAAGAAAATAAAGCAGATTGTGATTCTTTTAATTTAGACATTTACTAACCGACATTAGCGGACCTAACACACAGAAGAAAAGGGTGATAAAGGAAGGGAACTAAATAGGACTCGGCCGATAACTAGCGGTGAAGCTCGAGATATTAGGTAAGTTTGATAGTTTGTGAAGTGTGAAGAAAGTGAACACAAGCTAGATTAGCGCCTGCACGTTCAAATCGGACAGTCGTTTAGTTATAGATCATTAGCAGTGTTAATTAAAAGTGTCACAAGGGCAAGGTAACTTAGTGAGCTAAAACCCTACTTTCTTTCTATTGTCTTGCTAGTTTATGTTATTTGATAAATAATAATGCAATAATTTCCACATTACATGGCTTTTATTAGGTGTAATATGTTACAAAACTACAAGAAGTATGTGCTGGGCCTCTTGTATGCGAAGGTGTTGAGCCGCTTGTGATGGTGGACGCGCTTGGGCAGCGGGAACTTGATGCCGCTGTTGTGGAACTGCTTCACCTGCGGCCGCCGGCACGCCGACGCCTTGATTACTTCCACTTTGATAATCTGAAATATTAGAAAAAATAATTAAATCCACATATATTTTATAGTTGGAATTCACTATGTTCCTTTTTAATTTTGTGTACAAAAGAGAAACGCAAAATACGCGCCAGTCGACAACTTACAGAAGAGTTGCATGTTTTACCAAGATATTTCAAACTATAATACTAAGTTATTTAATAATAAATTTATAAAACATTTTATGACCTTGTCTCAATAACTTTAAAATTAATCATGTGAAAATTGTCCATGTTGCAAACCCCTTTTCCTTAAATCAATTGTTACATGCATTATTTAGTAGATGGCATACAAAACTACAATGGTTCTACAATAAGGACACATAAGAAAGAAATTATGTCTTACATGTATGGAGTGAGCACGTGCTCTGTGACGTGCGCCCATGTCGCGGTAGCACTGTGTGACGGCGCCGCCAACGCTCAGGTCGCGGTACTCGCGGTACATGTTGTGAACACCAGACCGAGACTCATAGCGCAGCCAGATACCGAAGTTCTTGATCTTGATCGGACTCTTTTCTGGAATTTCCTATAATTGACATTCATTTTGAGTATACATTTATACAGTTTAATTACAAGAATTGTATTTACAATCTTAAACCAAAATAAAAGAGTAGGATAACAAATTATTTCTAGAATACAAGCAAAATATACTTGATGCTGGTTTGTTATTAAGGTATGATATTCCATGTTGATTCCATGATGAACTTTACAATGGCAGTAAGAGTAGTTTTATATATCACACAATTTTAGGTTTAGCGGGCTGTTGGGGGAAGGCATTGTGCTGGACACTGGTAACCTTGGACCACCAAGATATTTGTAAAGAACTATAACAATATGTGCACTACTATTATTACCCATAGTCAGGTTGATTCGAGCATCAGAATTATTATTAAATAGATATTTATTGTAAAAATATATTTCATATCTATTTGGTAGATTATGGTCAACCAATCTAATGTTTACATCTATGTAACGAAAACAACACAAAGAAGGTAACATTTTTAATAGTAATACCAGTAAAATATAACTTTATTTTTAATTGGTCAAAATGGAATTTTATTACCTTAATAGAGACAATTTCTCCAGTGGTCTTCTTGAACTTCTTCAGTTGTCGCAGGAAATACCAAAACCGGGATTTAGCAACAATTGGGTCCGGAGAGAAAATTCTCATTTTGTACAGCGGCGGCTTGGGCTCGCTGTCTGATGGCTGTTTACGGCCAATCACTTCGTATTCCTTCAACTAAAATAAACAAATAGTATTTGCCTCTAAGGATTAATTATGTTCTAAATTATTGTATTTTACATATTAATAAAGTACTTGTTTCTATCATAATAAAATGTTTTTTGTTATGATTGATGCACAAGAACATGACATGCCTTACCTAACCTATAAAGTATACGACAGATTTTTGGACTTATAAGTTCTACAACTATTATAAAGGCGGTCTTTTTGATAGTAATGCTATATTTTTTTTTTATATTTTACACTAATTATTCACATCCAATATATTAAATTCACGAAAAAGCGACAAATGAGGCGGCAAGACAACGTGTACTACTGACATATTCACTGTATCGTTACTACAATTAAGATAATTAAATAAGTAACACCAATTCAGATGTTTTCTAACTTTTTTGATCGAAACAACACTTTTTCTTTCATATGAAAGTTTATTTTTAATTCCCTTACCTCTCCTTTCGCCTTCATTTTTGCAGATCAAACCTGAAAAAGATCTGTCAACGGAAGCGGAACACAAACGAAAGAAAGATGGCGTAGTGGCATGAGAGTAGTGTTGCAAGAGAGCACATTGAATTTTAAGAAAATACTCTCGCAGAGATAAAAAAATATATATAAACGGGAATTATTGACTGCCCAGAAAAATCCTTTTCCTCACTCTGCGCCATATTGCCGAAAGTATATGGCTCTAATTTCTTATAATTTCAATAAAAAAATGTAATGTAATCACGGTGTAATTTTATAAAGATGGTGGCGTCCTCAACAAGGTTTTTGTATTGGAGTTCATTACGTCCTTCTTTACTTTAACATTAAATATTTTTCGACGGCACTTTTTATTTTTATAAAGTCTAGCTTTATTTTATATAAGAAATTCGATTGGAAATATCAAAATTATTGATTCTTATTAAACACCTTTTACGACTATTCCTTCAGTTTACAGACGTCTTTTCTTTTATTAGCTAGTTGTCAAGTTCAAGTTGACGTTTTATTCTCATGTCATATCAATGTCAGAAGCATATGACAGTTTGACAGTCATAAGTGCACGTAACATGAAGTCAGAAGACTTTGTATTAAACAAAAACTTCTTCCTTCTGTGAGGATATCATAAGTTTTAAAATGTGATAGAGGTTGTGAAGATACTAGTTAAAATGGTTTATAGTAAAGTCCCTCGATTAGTTAGGTACGGTTTAAGTGGCGGAGTAGCAATTGGTAGTGCCGTTGCTGCTATGAAATATCGTGACACCGATTACAATTCTTTAGCTGTTGTGAGGCTTGTGAGAGCAGCATATACTGCTGTGGATATTGGAAGAACTTATAAGTCCATGTTATATAGCAAAGAGTGGGATAAAAACTCCAAAGAGTACATTCAAATCAAAAGTGAGGCGCATCAAATTGGTGCGGAGAAATTGCTTGAATTATGCCGAACAAACAAAGGTGTGTACATAAAAGTCGGACAACACGTAGGTGCGCTCGACTACCTGCTGCCCTCGGAATACGTGTCAACAATGCGTGTTTTGCATAAAGATGCCCCTAGAAACACAATTGAGGAACTATATAAGGTTATTAAGGAAGATTTAAACCAGGATGTAAGTGTGTAAATCATTGCATTTTCTTCAGATGTCTCAAGTATTGCATCATTTTAATTTCATAATTATTGCATCATTTATTCATTTCATTTAAATTAAAATTTAATGAACAATTCTGTTAATTTTTTTTTATATAAATTTCAGCCCCATGAATTGTTTATTGAGTTTGACCCTGAACCACTTGGCACTGCATCCCTTGCACAAGTACATAGAGCTAAACTGAAAGATGGCACTGAGGTAGCTGTTAAAGTTCAGCATCATTTCGTTAGAAAGAATACTAAAATTGACTTAAAATGGATGGAATTTATAATCACTACAATGTCTAAAGTATTCCCTGATTTCCAAATGCAATGGCTTATTGATGAAACAAAGAAGAATATTGCAAAAGAGTTGGACTTTATGCAAGAAGGTAAAAATGCAGAAAGGGTGTCTGCTTTGTTTAGTGATTACAAGTGGTTAAAGGTACCAAAAATATTCTGGGACTACAGCACTGAGAGGGTCTTGGTCATGGAGTATGTAAATGGTGGTCAAGTAAATGATGTGAAATATATTGATGTAAGTAAATATTTACATATGTTTTTACTAACAAATAATTTCAGTGTTGGCTATTTATTTTGTTATTAAGTGTACATTAATAATAGAAAAAATATTAAAGACAATTCCTACTTTTAGACATTACTAATTAAAATCCTTTGGTGTGAATGACATGCCTTCGTTACAAAGTCCAGTGTCCGAATGAATAGTGGCAATAAGTGTCCCCACAAACGTCAACAATTTAGTAAGGCTAGTGTTGGGTCAATACACTGCCACATTTTCGGATTTTCTTCCTAACACTTTTTACTTAGGTTGAATTAAAATCAATTGATTACTGGAGCCAACAAAAATCTGCTGCTAATTATTAACTAGTTATTCCAACTCCAAGGGTAAAATAAGGTTAATCCGTTATTTTATTTCTATTCTAGGAACATAAAATAGATAAATACAATCTATGTTTAAAACTCGGTGATCTGTATTCCCATATGATATTTGTGAGTGGATTTGTGCATAGTGATCCTCATCCGGGAAACATACTTGTGAAGAAAGATCCCGGTGACAAAGATGTAACAGTATTCCTGCTGGACCACGGTTTGTATGCTGTAAGTTATAGATTAGTAAATATTGAATCAGAAACCAGTTAATATTTTTTATTACATATTTTCATTCCATTCATTCTCTGGAGTTAAAAACCCATAATTTGATTTAGTAATTAAATATTTAATTATATGTAACTTTATAAAATTAGTAAAGTTTGAATTTAAAAAAGTAAGATTTAACTCACACTATGCTTTGGTGGATAAAAACATGAAAAAAAAGGGAAACTGAGTTTGACAATTATACTATACATTAAATTTTAACTAAAATGTTTTAAATTTATTCGGGTTCTTCTAATATTGTATTCATTTTTACAGCAATTGTCTGAGAAATTCAGATATCATTATTCAAAGTTATGGCTGTCTATAATAGCAAGAGATAAAGATGAAATGAAATTGCATGCGGAGAAACTTGGCATACCCAAAGATCTGTATGGTTTATTTGCCTGTATGGTGACTGGACGGCCATGGGATGTCATATTAAAGGGTATTGACAGAACAAAACCATCTTCTCGAGAGGTTTGTAAATGAAGTTGTATTGTCATTTAGTGACAAAATTGCTAGGTTTTGAATATTTACATGGCCTTGTGTATGGGGGACCTTAGTAGCCTATGCTCTGCTACAGATTGTCTAGTCAGAAATCTAATTAGGTTTCAAATTTTATCTAGATTTGTTCAGCTGTCACATAAGCTGTACTGTTACGTTACTAGTTCTGGATATCCTTCCATACTTTCATCTTAATAATATCAGTATGAAGTAAAATATTACTGTCATAAAAGAAATGGAATATTAATTGAATCTGATATTAAGATCTGCTCGTAATTTGTAGTAACCACATAACTGATATCTGACAGTAATTTTACGGTGCAAATTAAAATTACATTATACATCTATTAGAAACTTTTAGCTATAATTGTTTAGTTTAAGATTACATATATATTTTTTAATTTATTTCAAAAGATTTAACTTTAATTTCTCTTTCAAGTAGAGTCGGTGAAAGGCAGGCAGTTATAAAATAAAGCCAAAACTTAGTAATATTGTAAATGCGAATGTTTGGATGGATGGATGGATGTTTGTATGTATCTTCAAAACAGCTGAACAGATCTTGCTAAAATTTGGCATAGATGTAGAGTATAGTCTGGTAGAACACATAGGCTACAATTTTTTTTTTTATACTCCGCGCGGACGACAGCTAGTAAAGTTTATAAAACCTAGAGTGCAAACCCTAATTGAGTCAGATAAGGATAGGAAAATGATGAAACTTTTCTAAAACTAAATCTTTGTATTCCAGAAATCGACATTTCAGAATGAGTTACCGAATTTCTTGCATCACGTGACTCAATGTTTGGAGCATGTGAATCGTGAAGCGCTGCTCGTGTTGAAGACAAATGATTTGATCCGTAGCATTGAGTATGCGTTGGGTATGCAGGAGCGAATGTGTGGCTTTATGGTCATGACCAAATGTTGCACGCAGAGTATATACCAGCTTGAATACAAGGTCAGTCAAGGTTATTCATTGTATTAAAATATAGTTACCATATAAAATGATGTCACCACATAAAAATATTGTGATCAAGCCGAAGTAATTAAACATGAAGCCATTCTTTTACCTTTTCAATGCTACCATCCCATCAATATTGGTTCCTCCTTTCTGTAGATTACCCGGAACAAACATGGCCTTGCGGACAGAAGAAAATTATTTTTTTATTATCATCCACAAAATGTGGATTTTATTCATATGTATAGATGAAATAAATCATTTTTCTATTGTTACAGAAAGAAAATTCCTTTTTGAGGCGACAATATCTCAATACGAAGTATATTTGGTCTTTATTACTGCTTTATGTGTACAATGTTTTTCTCAAACTTAGAGAAAAATTTGTTATGTACAGTTAGTAATCATAATATATTAAATCAATGTACATTTAAGATGTAAATGGTCTGACATTACCAAAAATATTTATTGTTTAGTCCATTTTTTTACTTTGGCTATTTTTTTTTCATACATGATGCCATGCAATTAATGTTCCAAGGAAGTCGTTTCCTAGTTGAAATGTTACATTGTTTTAGTCAAATTGTTACCTTAAGTAGGTAATTGTAAATACATATAGAGTAAATTATTGATTGAACTAATATTGTTTAAAAAAATAATAAATTTGGCCATATAAAGGGGTAATTTATATAATTTTAGTAGGGTCAATAACCTAGTACATTTAGGTTATGGGTGTATTAAATTAAAAAAAAATTAAAATATTGAAAAACCTAAATCACTTGAATTCAATAAAACGGCATTGCTTAAAAAGCGATTGCAAATTGCAGACCGTGTATGGCAAACAAAGAGTATATAAAATAAGAGACGGGACGGGGAGAATAAAAATTGTCATTTTCAATGCTAGCAATATTATGAACAAGTCAATGTTGCTACCAACCTAAATAAATCAATCTGTCAGTTTCCTTTTTGACGTTTAAAATAAAAAGTTATTTATCAATTTTAGTTTAAAATTACAATATTTCAAACAATCAAACTTTGTAGCACAGATGGGACATGCAGTGAGTAATTCTGAAGCAGATTCCTTCATTTAATAATTCTGTAGACCTTGAAGAGGTGCATTTATTCATCTGCAACAGAATGAAATTGTAATTAATTGATTCAAGTGTATAACAATCACTTTAATTATTGCTTTTCACCTAATTACATACCTTATTAAAAAAAAACTGGTTTTCTTTGATTATATGGATCTCTCCCCATTTACTTACAAAACTTCTTTGCAATTCTCTACAATGATGGAACTCCCAAACCATGTAAAAAATTATGATTAGTTTTTACAGGTACAGATAGGAACTTTTATTGCCTGCCCATTTTGGTGAAATGTCTATGATAGAATCATAAATCAAATTAGTTTAAAAAACTTGTCATGACATGACCAATTTACAGGTTGATCTACAATATTTGAAACAATAATAGAGAGATATTCTACACACAACCTAAATAATGTTTAAGTTGATTTTTTTTATTAAATTTTTTTCATGTTTCGATCAAACCAATTTATACTAAATATCAAGCCAATTTAAAAGGTTAAAATTGTTCAAGTAATTGCTGGAAATATGTGCATACTTACTTAATATTTACCACTTACCATGTAGAATTTGTCATATGTCTTGTACTTACTTTTATGTTATTTTCATCAATTTTTGTTGTAAATTTATTCTTTAGCAATCAACAAAAGGTCATAAGTTCTAGTTCAACATTTAGTTCTTTTAAATATGAATAGAATGTAAAATTATATCTTTATGCAAATTCTATTTCTGTGAATCCATAGATTATGTTTTCTACTACTTTTTACTTGTTTCACACCTAAAAACAGAAAGTATTAAAAATTGATAAGTTGTTCATACAATGTTCTTCCTTTGTAATTAATTATAACTTTAAAGCTTATTCTTATTATTAAATAAGTTACAGAAACTTCAGAGGTTGGATGTAACTGCTGGTAACTTAGTTTATTTAGAAAAATAAACAATTACAGATATCTTTATATTCATAAGATCACATATTGTTGATGTTATTCATAATTTTATTATAAACAAACCTAAAGATGTGTACTTTTTAATAATTAATTTCAGTCAATTTGTCATTGGAAAGCGAGTCACACTCCCATTTTAAAGTCCGACCCAAACACAACAATAAACAAAGTCTTTTAACATTTGAATACTAATTTTATTTGATTTAATAATCGCGCCGCCCAACTCATACTTTGTGACAAGCGGCTTCTTCTTCTTGCTAAATTTATTATGGTAACACTTTTTTACGTTGAGAGTCATAGAATTTTTAAAACACCACTCTTCTATTGCATTTAAATCCTCTTGTATGAGATTTGCATCCTCAGGGGATTTGACAATCTTGTATAACTTTAAATCGTCTGCGAACCTACTGCATTAAAACCGCGAATTTCTTGCAGTTTTAATGCAGTAGGTAATGTCATTGATGAAAACCAGGAGTAAGATGTTCGGTTACATATACGGGAGAATGGGCGCTACCTACTCCTAGATGCTGAGTTCCTAATTTTTTATCCGCATTGGCTTTATTGTATTTCATTACAGCGGCTAAGAAAGCGTCTCTTTGACGGGGATAAAATATAACAATATCATAAAAATTTTCGTTTGTTATATGAGAGAATGAAAGTTTAATGGTTTAATGGCGGACGGCGGAGGACATCGTTTTTTGGGGGGGGGGGTGTTTTCATAATGCATACAAATAAATTGTAAATTTAAAATTACATACTTAAATTAACTAGATTAAATTGTTGTTTATTTATAATCAAAACTTTAAATTTAAAGAAATCATAAATTTTTAAAACACAATTTATTCATATGCACAATGGTTTTTAAAACAGCCCAAAAATAATAGAGAAAGTTTTGAGTGAGATAGATACACAATTTTCAAGATGGAGGATCTCCGTTTGCGTTCAATTTGTCGCACAGATTATATAATTTCGCATGCCTGATGGCAAATGTCAACAGCTTATTTCCTCCGATATGGGGACTTTATTGTTTATAAGATATAAAAAATTATGCTCAAAGTAGTTATTGTTTATGACAAACCAACTTAGGAGAGGCAATTATATGTGTAGTAAAGGCTATTTTTATATCCTTATATTTATTTTGTATAAATTGTATGAAATATATGTGTAGAAAAAAACCGGAATTGAATGAATTCTTGTTTTTATTCACCTATAAACAACAAAAGTACAAAAAAAATAAAAATTGTCTATGAAAAAGTAAAAAGTAGTTAATGGCAAATCATACATGAATTTTGTTTTCGAGATGACTAAGTTTGGAGCTGAGTGTTGACAAATCGTTTTGTATCTTCAATAAAATACCAGTGAAGCTGTCGGCGCTATTCCGTCGGGGGATTTTAAAGAATAACGAAGAATTAGAAAATTTAAACGATAGATCCGATCTCTTTTGATCCGCGTGCAATATATTTGTCAAACGATGACCTTCCAATGCTCCTGTTGTATCCGCAGACTTTTGATTGTTTTCTGTAAAAACAAATTAAAAAAAAACGACTCCAATGACTAATTCTGTTCAAAATTGGCCAAGTTCTTGCATTTAAAATTATGAAATATTTTAGTCGGTTGATTTACGTAAATTTGGATTGATATCGCTTCTTTTGTATAAACACTGTGCATGATTTCACATGATAAACTAGGAATTAAATAATTTTGGTAGTTGAAATAGATCGTAAAATAATAGTGTCCAAAGTTTCGTCTTTTCGTTGGTGCTCGCTACAACGGAGGCCCTGACGCACCCCCAGATAAAGAAACTTACCAACAGTTTTCCCAACATCTTCTTGCAATGTCTCCTCACGTATTATGTTATCCTGTGAGTCTCCATTAGTATCCGTAATAGATTTTTTGTTACCCATTGTTAGCATATTTTTGTTAGCTGCAGATATACCTAAAATAACAAGAAATGTGTAATATTTTTGAGTAAATTATGTCCATCACAATCCCTCGTTTAAAAAAGGTAATAAATTAATTTGGTGTGTAAACGAGTCGTCGCACTTGGGCTTAATTCGTATTCGCTCGAAAATGTAGTATTCGGTTTTAATCTCCCGGGGCTTAATTAAATTCGACAGTAAAAGAATTACGGTAATTATCTTTGCTGTAGTTTTTTCTGAACTGATCTTACTAAATTTTTTTATATGAAGCCATAGCCTAGATGGTGATAAACTTAAGTCACATTTAAAAACTTATAAACACACTTTATAATTGATTTGTTCGGATTTTAATCTTACTAATATTATAAATACGAATGTTTAGATGGATGGATTGTTGTTTGATTTGAAGTTTGTTTGAAGGTATCTCTAGAATGGCTAAAATAGTCTGGAAGAACAAATAGGCTACTATTTTTTTTTATTTCGCGCGGACGGAGTCGTTGGCGACCGCGTCATTCATATATCTATGCGAATAAAAAATATGACTTGACGATACAAGGGTATCACTGAAAATAACTTATATTTCATGAAAATAAACAGAGGTAATAAATCAGGAAAGAAGTTTGCAACGGAAATATCATGAGGCCAAATAACAGTCGTTTACGGTCGCATTCCGTCGATTTATTTCCGCTGACGTTTTGGCCTCGCTTCGTTATTTTACTTTTACTGCGCTCGTGCATTCGATAAGTATAAATAGCCAGCAGTTTAAATTACAACCTTCAAGTCAATGAGCGGTATTATTTTACTTTAAAACGGAAACTGCTACCATTGTATTTTCAATGTATTGTTTTTAAATGTATATTTTTAGTATTTTCAGTTTTTTTTACCCAGTCCTTTGTGTCGTCACCTCATTACTTTACTTCAGTCTAACAGAAAAAAATTATATAGGAAAATAAAAAAGGCGTTGGCTCGAATGCGTACAGAGCATTGGTTTCTCAGGCAACCAGACTTCCAATATGTAGGGATGTTGCGGGTCGTTGCCGCGGCATAGTGACGTGAGTGGTATCTCCCGCTCATCGCTAGACTTTAGCACTATGACCTCGTCGCAGTAGTCCGGCAGATCCAGTAAATACCATATCTTACGTCGCAAACGTGATACGGACGCTGATGGTCTTACGGCCACGTAACGCAGGCTCTGCTCTGTTACTATAACATATACATAAAGAGTTTTAAGGTTGGTAGATAAAATAGAAGTGTGGAGGGGAACTTTAATAGACCACATGAGACAATGAACGGCGTTTCACATAAAGAATTAAATAGGAATGCGGAATGAATTCAATAAGTATTGTGCTTTGGAATTGTATTGACAAGAAAACTCATCAGGGTGACTCAGACGATAGGGATGTCACGGAAGAGATTACGGAGATTCATTTAACGCTGTTTCAGTGCATCTCCCTCGCTTCTTCCATATTCATACATATAAAAGACACTTATTGCTAAGTTACGCGGCAAATATCATTGCAAAAAAATAAAGTACTTACATCCTAAATCATGGCGCCGAATTAACAGAAATGTAATAACATGCTTTTTAAGCAATTTACTGGGAGCCTTCAATAGATTTATAAGCGACATTTTGTTTACCTCCTACGAATATCATAACATTTTCTGCAATTTCATATTTCTTTCAAATAAAAATTCTCTGACATTTTCCAACAAAACTCTACTTCATTGACAAAAAAGGCGTTTTACATCGTTCTTAAATATTTTAAGGTATAAAATACTCTTTTATAATATTCAGAAAATATAAGACCTATTTTGTATAGTATCTTAATAAATTTATAAATTCGAATGTTTATATGGATGAATGGATGGATATTTGTTTGAAGGTATCTCCGGAACAGCTCAACGGATCTCGCTGAAATGTGGCATAGTTTTAGAACACAGTCTGGAAGCACACATAGGTTACTCATTATTTTTTTTTAATTCGGCGCGGACGGAGTCGCGGTCGACAGCTAGTAATAAATAAAAACTGTAAATTGCTTTATATTTATTTTTGCATATTCAAAATGTAATTAGTCATAAAGCGCAGAAATAAAATAAAAAAACAAAAAAAAAACACATCAAAGTTTCACATTAAATAAAAATATCTTTTACATCAATTCTTCGTTATAAGGATAGACGAGGCAATGAAAGATAAAATAAAATACACTTTAAACTAATTTTATTTATCACTTTGTAGTGTAGTTTTTTAGGTAAGAATTACCATCAACAAATATTTGCATGGAATATAATATATCGTTGTCTGTGGTCATCGTAACAACCTTTTTGTCTTTGTCAATCCAACTTTCTAGCTTGAAGCGCAAACACGAGAAGCTGTGAGGTTGTAAACTCCCATTTATTAGACAATGGTCGATAAATTAAGCCACATGTCGATTCTACATGACAGTTGTCTGTAACAAAATTAAATTTAAAAGTCAATTTCCCCCGCCGAAAAACATACAGTTGAGGACGATTATTTCCTACCCATTATCAACTAACATTTATTGTTGCAAAAAATAACTCAAAAACCTGTATTTTTTAGTTTTCAAGGGCATCAAGTTTCTAAGTAACTAAAGTCAAGTATAGTTCATTCACTTTTGTACATTATTTTAGTTTATGGTAGCAATTAATTAAAATTTTATCATCTAGAATAATGTGGAATCATTTTAATATGTAAATTTATAAAGTTTGCGATACCATAAATGTAAAAATTCTTATACTTACTTCTTTCCAATAAAAATGTCAATTCAGGCACTGTTAAAAATTTCTCATATTGATGAGTACCTTTTGGTATAAGATTGAAGACATATTCAGCTAAAAATATACCAAAGAACTGAGTCACTCTTGATCGGTTTGGTGTTGTGATGAATATCTTTCCTCCGGGCTTGACTGCTTCAATGCAACTCTTCAGAAATAATTCCTGATTGTTCACATGCTCTATCACTTCAGAAGCCACAACTGCATCATAGTAATTTTTACGTTCCTTACAATGGTCCTTGAATAAAAAAAAGATGTTATAAATCTTATAATCTTATTTCTTACTCTTACTATAAATGTAAATGTCTGAAGAACACATAGGTTACTAATTAAGTTTTTTGATTCCACACAGACGGATTTGCGGGCAACAGCTAGTTTCATATAAATGACATAATAAGACATTTAATGCATTCAAGTACAACATTTTATACAAAGAACTAGTCCAGCTTGTTGATACTTTAACTTAATTAATTCATAATACCAGTTTGAATTTACATTATCAAGCAAGAATAATAAACCTATCAAATATAGTATTTATTAAAGGGATAAATAATATTCATACCTCAACACTTGTACAGATGTATGAAGGCAGATTGTTCTCGAGTTTGGGATTCATTTTACTGTGCTCTATGGCCAACTCTATTAAATCTTTACCAGCATCTATACCTGTTACGGTTGCTCCTATTTTCGCCAAAGCCTAAAATATTTAAAAGCATATTACATAAATATAAAGAGAATATCATCCATCAGAGTGTAAGATTTTTGAAAATAACATGGTAAATAGCTAAGTCTGTCCACCCTAATATTGATAGACAGCTTGTGAGCATTATGTTATTGACTTAATTGTCTAACTATAAGCTTCTACTAGCTTCTGCTAACAGTATGATAACATATTGTTACCTGTTTAGATTTTTACGAGCCTTTCGGAGGATGAAACCTCAATTTACAGTTCATTTATTTAATTCTTTATATACCACTATTTATTTGAGGAATTAATATTTACCTCCGAAAGAATCCCTCCACCACAGCCAACATCTAAAATTTTTTTATTACGCAATGGAGCTGCATTTCTTTCCTCTGGTGAACAAGGGACTAGACCATCTCTTATATAAGGTATTCTGAAACAGAATACTATTTGTGGATTGGTGGAATTGATGGAATTGTGAATACAGAATTGGTGGTAAAATGGTATGGTGAAATAAACTTCAACATAGAGAAATATTTAATCATAATAAAATGTGAAAGGAAATGTCAAAATAACCTTTTTATTCTATATTTATATTTGAACATTATCTTAAATTTTACAGAATCAATAAATAATATTAAATTATATTAATTATCCATGGTGAGTTGTGTTGACTTACAAGGTTAATCAAAGGTTATAAAAAGAAAAATAATAAGTTATTACCTCACTAAATTCATGCTGTGCAATGGTTTGATTGGTCCGAGTTCATCCCACCAGGTCTTCATGAGACCTTCATGGTGATTTACATCTTTGCTATCTATGGTTGACTTAGCTTTTCCTTCCGCTTGATTCTGTTGAAATATACTTGAAGTACCAAACAACTGACATTTTTGTATATTGGCCACCCTAAAACACATACAAAATATAGTATCATTATTGAATATTCCTTAAATTTCAATGTTAGAAGTTATTTAAACTATAAAAATCGTTTGGAAAGCCAAACATAGATTTTGAATTTGTTTCATTCAAATGTTTTACACTTTACAAGGACATCTTTAATCATATATTTTCATTCCTATTAAAATTTATCAACAATAATGCAGTTTAAATTTATAGAAAATATGTTTCTCGTAATCTTTAAATGTGCAAATAAGAGGATCTAATACTTACAATCCTGTCCGTAAAACTGTTCTTTGGATTAAGTTCATTTTAAGATAATATATAGAACAAATAACAGATTTGTAAAAACACAAATTGTTAAATTATCTCAACCCTGTGATCCTTAAACTTTGTCACCATCACTGGAACATAATATTTATAACAAAATAAATCAAACAGTTGAGCGCGCAATTCGTGCGATTTACACTAGGTATAAATTTAAACAAAGTTTGAACTGTGGGTAAATAAAAAAGGAAACTCGCAATAAATTATACCGGCTTGTACAGGTTGGTTTTAAGTTCAAGGTTATTTCATTAATGATGTAAATATTATGCATAAAATCATAAAAAAAAGCATATTGTTTATGCTCACGTGTTAAAGGTTACTTTTATTTATTTTCCATTTTACCACATTCCAAAATGTAGTTATAGAACGTAAACACGCACAAAAACAATAAAATTTTAACTTTTCTTTCGTTTAATCGTTCCTTAAGTTCATAATTTCTTTTTTTTACGAATAATACGAAATTTCAAGTATAACAAAAACATAAAGTGTCAATGTCAAAGTGAAAGTTGTTAGGTTGTTAGTTGTTAGCAAAGAGTAAATAAAATATATACAAGATCCAATATAAGCATTCAAAACGTAAACCTGTGCTGTCTTGAATTTGAAGTTTTGCAGCCGCCTCAAGTTTATCGCGTTTTATATTATAATCGACAAGATTTTAAGTCCCTGTTCACATAAGACGCTACAGTCTACCGAACGTGCGATTCCTATGTAAACACTAGCATTAAATGTTTGATATTTCGAGAACACGCTCGCGCCCTCGCTCATTGCTGAGAGCCAACCTGTACAAGCATTGAAAGGAGCTAACCTTCTATTTCGTATACTGTACTTGGGAAGGGAATGTTCGTATTTGTTATGTTAACTTGGTTCTGTTTGAAGAAATAAGGCACTTTGTTAGAACATTCGGGGCTGTGGGGCCATGGCAGTGCTCTCACAAAGATGAGCCTAAGCGATTCCTTTTTCCTTTTACTTTCCTTTTGACTACCGTCTAATGTTTTGAAGTTTGAAAAATAACGCTTTTAAATGAAAAGGATAGATTTCTTAAAAAGTACGTAACTTATGCACTCACGTATATTGATAGTTTTTAATTCACTGCTCCGTTAATACGTTTTGTGGCTTAAAGAAATACAATTCGATTATCCAAAGGTTTTGTTTTTTGTTGGCGTCTACCACTGTTAATACTTATTATAAAAAACCGGTATTGCTGATAATTTACGGTTGTAATCATTAAATGTTGTTATGTTTTTGTGTTTCGTATTTCGCTTCAGGGTAATTATGAAGTTAATTGTAAATAAAACGCTTTTTACCCGCACTGGTGGGTACTTTGGAAAACCCGATTCTGTCAGCGCGCGGGCTTTATAGGGAAGGCAGTTGATCGCTGTTTCCTAGCCGAGGAACTATTTCGAAGAAATTTGATTTTAAATGATCGGTTTGTGATACAACGGCATAACGGATTCGTGCTAATAGGCTCCTCATTCGATACAAGACAGGAATGTATATACAACCGGGACGTGACAACGACATGGTAAGTAGTTTTTATTTAACTGATATATAAACACGGCTAAACACTCACGCTAAACAATCAGTTGAGTATAATGTCTCACGAAAGTTTGAATAATTTAATAGTCTTTATTTGTTTATATTATTTACGCAACTATAATGCGGTAGAGCGCACAGGGTTTCGTCAATACACAGTACATCTCTGTTCTAGTCAAGTACCCTTAGTTTATAAGTTTAGATTGAACTGACTGCCCAAACGAACATTGGTCATTTCCATAACTGGCTGATCAAAAGTTCGGTGACATCGTTTTTTTTCGATGAAATTTGCTGTTTTAACGTAATTAGCCACGACGGCTATTCATAAGTAAGACACGCTGGTATTAAATTAACTTAATTAGTGAAAAAAACTGACAGACTACTGACTAAGCAGTAAACCAGATATTTTGCAATCTCAATTTGAAGGTGAGTTTAAAATAAAATGTTTATGTCAGGAAAATCTTGAATTTAACTTAATTTGTCGCAAATGAAGTAGCATTTTTTTTATTTAAATTCGTAAAAGCGCGGACAATGAAGAACACTAATCGAATTTTAACGACGACAGGCTACGAAAACAAAAGCACTGGCTTTCTTAAGAAGCGGCAAATTTGTAAGTAGGAAAATTTTATGTTATTCCAAATGGTTTTAATTTATTAAAATTTTCCGTGAAAATGAGAAGAAGTGCTTTTTAAACAAACTGTTTTATAAGGATCCTATTTTATTTGTATTATACTACGACTTATAGTTTATATACACATGTTTTAAGTTAAGTATTAATATTATTTTGGTAAAGATTTTTCTTACTTTTTATACATTCGTTTTATTGTTATTGTTTTACCGGTACAGAATAGGTACCGGTAAAAATACTTTGATAATACAATTATACACATTTGTCAGTTTATTTGATATGATCCAGTCTTTTCTATGTTAAAAATTTTACGAAATAACTTATTGACTATCTGTTCTAAATCTAAACGAAAGATACATTGATAATTAATTCGTGAAATCGATTATATGAATATAATTGACACGTTCAGATGAATTATAATAAAAACGATTTGGAATTCTCTAAAAATCTCCTTGACATAATGGATAAAAGTTAATTTGATACGCTGCGCTTTTTATTTGAATTAATTGATTTTTCGACGAGGGCTGGATTGTCGCGGCGCGAACGAATTCCTTGTGATTGAAAATTATTCAATGGGTAAATGGAAATACTTTTAGAAGTTTTTTTTGGAAAGGGCATTGTGATAATTTATATCCATTCCGTTAGGTTTTTATTGAAAAAAAAAACCTAAAAAATGATTAAAGCTGAGTGACCATACTGCCAGAACAGAATTGTGAACTTCTTAAGGAACGTTTCATTAATATAAAAAGCAAAATGATGCCTTGTCCCTTAAGTAATTTACTGAATTGTTTTTCTAATTAAATTTTACTTAATTATAAAATGAATAATGTAATGTAAAACTTAATTAAAAATTCTTCTTGTTTGCCTTTTAAAATGATGGCTCTCCATATTTTTTTTATTTATTTCGGTACTAAGATACGAAACAGTGTTATAATTTTTTTAAATTATTCATACGCTTAAGTAAAATGAAATATAAATAGTGTATTAAATTATTTTCGATAGCTAACTTAAATGTATATCAATTGAGATTCTTTTAAGATTTCTTAAAAGCTTCTAAGTTCAGACAATATTTATTGTTATATTTCGATTAACAAAATATTTTAGAAATATTTTTTTAAATACACTGTTACAAAAATAATAAATTTAAAACAATTGGTATATAAATATATGTATAATATGTATTTTGATTATATAATTTATACCGAAATAATAATAAAAATAATAAATTAAATTTACTGAAAAGTTAGACGTCACCCTTAAATTTAGGCTCCGAGGCCGTCGGTTCGGACGTATAGCGAGCTGATGATGAGACGTTAGACCACGGAAATTAAGTTTATTTTTCGGTAGATAAGATGTTATAGTTAAATTCCACTTTAAAGTTTAAAATAAGTTAAATTAACAAGGTGCTTGAATGGCTTTTATGAAGAAATTTATTAACCAACTACAAAGGCATTCACTACCAAAGCTATAAACAACAAACTCTTAAGGTTCCTTGTTTAATTCTCTATGCGGTGGAATTTCGTTAGCTACTTGGAAAGATATTACCGGCAACGATTTTATAAATCTTTAACTAGTAAAAGATTGTTGAGCTAATAATTTTTTTTTTTAATTTTGAGTTTGTGTTATAATAACTCAGAGGTGTTTAGACCAGTAAGAATTGATTAACTTCACACACATTTTTGAATTTGCTCTAAGATATGAATGAAATTATTCTAAGATATTTACCACGATGTTTTTTTAATAAAATGATGCTGGTTAAATGTTTCTCAATTTTGATAACAAAAAACAATAGTATATATAGGATCTGCATCGGTGCGTTCGACCGGAGATACCGGAGCCCTGTCAGTGGCACTAGAGGAGGGATATTGAGGAGGTTTTTGTGGTTAAAACCTCAACCTTCCCTTAACGAGTGGGAACAAATATATATTGTACAAAGATATTGTTAAGACTCCTCCACCCCCTGCCACAAAAAAGGTACCCAGTTTCTGTTAGATTACAAGTCCACTCTGTCAAAGCAGCAAAATTTTTATAATTTTAAATACATGCGATAGAAATTTTCAAGTGTGTCATAGAAATCTCCGACACTAAGTTTTTACAAATTATATACTGCAGTCTCAAAGTAAACACGTTAACTTTTATTGAGGGTGTACAAAACACTGGCGAAATGCTAAAACTAAAGACAAAGCGTATAAAGTTTTAGCTAACTATTTGTGTTTCTGTTGACATTGTTACTTTAACTTTGTCCGTGACGATGTACAAGTTTCAAAGTGTATTATGCAAAAAAACATTAGTTTTATCAGTAGTAATATAATGAAGAGTATTTTTTTAATAGAATAAAACGAACTCCAAAAACATTTAAACAATAACTGTATTACCTCAAAAAATATAGCTAGACATTGTTGTTAAGCACGTGTTTTAACCTTTTCAACACCGGTGTAGGATATTATGGACGACACAATTTGACGTTTCACCATAAATATGTATCACACTACCTTCGGTGTAAGTACTTTAGTGGTCTGGACGATTTATTGGTCTAGATCTTACAAACCTACACAATCGAAAAACATAATTGTCCCGAGTTAGTATGTTTGTAAAGGAAATCAATTCAACAAATCAAGAAAACAGCAAATATTTTCTCGCCAACGGTACTGAAAACAGTATTATCGTATCATTACCAATGAAAAATAATAAAGAAATACCAACTTTAAATCAAATACTTTTATAGAAGGTTTTGATTTTTAATTTATATTACAAATTTTTAATTTAATTTCATAATATTTGTGTAGAAATTAGAGCAAGAAAATGTAAACAGTACTTCCATGAAAATGAATTACACCAATTCAATTTAGCGCTGGTGAAAATTGTACGAGAGCGGCATCGTCTTAATAGACCAAATATAATTTTAGTACACACTGTCTAACTCCAATTTGAAATCTAATTTAGAAGTGTCTATTTATAGGATTAACAAAAGCCTACTGGTTATTTTTATTTAAGTACAAGATGTAAAACATATACGTTAATTTATCTTTAGTATAAAGTATCACATTTAAGTTTTATGTTCATACTAACTGTTGCTCGCGACTGCGTATGCGCGGGAAAGAAAATAGTAGCCAATTCTCAAATGTACTGAATATGTATATAAAATTTCATAAAAATCGGTCAAGCCATTTCTGAGGAGTATGGTGGAACATAGTGACAGGAGAATTTTCGCGATGTTTGTAACAATATCTGACGAAGATTTTCACAACTTTAATTTCCCCTAAGAGCTATTTTATAGTGAAATGAAAAATGCGCACAACTTTCGCAAACTTTACAGAGGATATAAAATTATGC